GTTATTTAGTAACCATTGTTATTTAGAGTCTATGGTTATTTAGTGTTAGGGTTTAGGGTTATTTAGTCTTAGGTTTATGGTTTAGAGTCTAGGGTTATTTAGTGTTAGAGTTTAGAGTCTAGGGTTATTTAGTGTTAGAGTTTAGAGTCTAGGGTTATTTAGTGTTAGGGTTTAGAGTCTAGGGTTATTTAGAGTCTATGGTTATTTAGTATTAGGGTTTAGGGTTTAGAGTCTATGGTTATTTAGTCTTAGGTTTATGGTTTAGAGTCTAGGCTTATTTAGTGTTAGGGTTTAGGGTTTAGAGTCTAGGGTTATTTAGTGTTAGGGTTTAGAGTCTATGGTTATTTAGTGTTAGGGTTTAGGTTTATTTAGTCTGAGGTTTATGGTTTAGAGTCTAGGGTTATTTAGTGTTAGGGTTACTTAGTGAAAGGCTTTAGGGTTAGGGTTTAGGGTCAATGTGTGTTGGTGTTAGGGGTAGGGTTAAGTTACAATACAAAACTTACATTAATCAATCTGACTAAAATATTAATAAACATTATTAAAATATTAAGTAAAATTTTGTATAACTTGAAAGAAATTTGTTATCTTGACTTTTTGTCATTCAATTTTTTACAGTCTAGTATTAGTAGTTTTTCTCATAAATGTACATGACGTCTTTGCATCTTGCAATGCTGACTTGTTTGAGTGAGAAAGGTAAAGTGAAAATAGTATAAACCCAGACTTGCAAGAAGTTAAGTTAGAATTCCATACAGTTGCAAAATTAAAATAAAAAAGTATGGTAAAATTACAATTCTGGGGAAATGTCAGAATTCTGAATTTATAAATTATTTAAATAACTATTACATGTTTTTTTTTTTCTGAAAATGTTTAGAAAGGTTTATGTGAGAAGGTTAGGTCAATATAAACAGTCATTTATGTCAGATCTCCACTAAGATGTACAAACTTGCGTGTGTGTGTTTGGTGAACAGCAGACTGTAGCTGCGCATTCAACTCTAGAGATCTACTGTATTAAAACAGAGACCAGATGCGGAGCAAAGCGTCTCGTCTGATAACTGACCTTATAAGAGCATGTCTATTCTGCTAATATGAACTTTTTTGGTTGGAATCTGCTTTGGATGATTGCATCCATGTGTGTTTTTTATGTATGTTTATCTGTATAATTATGTTTGGAGGCAAAAGAACTTCAGAACAGAGCCTGAGACAGTTTGACAAACAGTCATGTAAGAAGTTTTTTATATTGCTTCTTGTTTCTGCTTTTAAATGAATAAATATGTTTTGGTCTGTTGTTGGATCATCCCAGAGATAAATTAGTGAAGATTCTTTTAAGCTACTTTAAAATGTAATTTCTTATTTAATTTCATTTTATTTCTCCATTCGGAACATTCTCGCTTGTGGTTTGTGATCTCTCCCTTGTCAACATTGAATGCTAGAACTCTCGAAGTTAAATGGAACCTCTCTTTCTGTTATCTTAACTGATGAAAGGAGACCTCTTTTATTATCATTTAAATGAAACTTTTTGATGCCTGCAGCTTATACTTCTTCTGTTTTTCACTATATTCTAATGAAAAGAAACCTGATAGCCTGTCTTAAAGTGTGAGGGATTGGCCAACAGCATGACAGTTCTATATAGGATTACAATCCACAATCTGCAGGATTACATTAAACACTCCCAGTAAAGCCACTTCAGTCTTTCATAACAAAAGCTGTATTTCAATGAGCAGATGGGACATCTGTATGGCACTTCTGACAATGCACCCAATTTAATTACACTTTCGTTTTTTTTTTTGTTTTTTTTGGGAAGGTTTTTTTTTTTTTTTTTTTTTTGCATTGAATAATGTTGAAGAAAGCTTGCTACAATTGCTCTTGCTTATCTACTAATTTTAAAGTCTTTGTTGGCTGGGCACTTGGACATCATAAACCAAACTGTAATAAAACATCTGTCAAATCAAGTTCCCATCTGACAACATTTCATATTTTCAGACTAAGCAAGGAAAATGTTATACGCAAGGGAAGCATTTATAGATAGATATTTTTTGATCAGGATTTAAAGAAGACATCCACTTAAATGTAATTCAGTGTAACAAACGTTTAAACCTCAAAAAGGCTTATTCAGAACAAGAATCATTTGATGTTGCACATTTATGCAATCTGTAATTTTGCATTATTTATTTTTTTAATGATTATTGCAGTCTGATTTATTTCTATCAATTTAATATCCAAGTTTGTTATTCTGTTTTTGGTTGTATTGGTAATTGTTTTATACTTGTAGCAATACAACCAAAAACAGAATAACAAACTTGGATGATAAATTCATAGTAATAAATCAGACTGCAATAATTATTAAAAAAATAAATAATGCAAAATTATTTACATTATTTAAATAATAAATAATGTAATTTATTATTGCTGCACTGAAATTTAGGTTTTTAGTGTAGCCTCATATGAATAATTAATTGTAATTAGAAATGTTTATACTTATTATTTTACATATTTTAATAAGGCCAAGCATGTAGTTCATTTAAACATACTGTTGAAGTCAGAATTATTTGCACCCGTTTATTTTTTAACCCTCAAATTATTTTAACAGAGAGAACATTTTTTCAACACATTTTTAAACAAAATAGTTTTAATAACTTCTATAACTTTTATACAGCTCAAAGTGACATTAAAATGCTTAACTATGTTAATTAGGGCAGTTTAGGGTAATTAGGCAAGTTATTGTATATCAATAGTTTGTTCTGTAGACTATTGAAAAACATGGCTTAAAGGAGCTAATAATGTTGACCTTAAAATGGTTTAAAAAAAAATTAAAAACTGCTTTTATTCTAGCCAAAATAAGACTTTCTCCAGAGGGGAAAAAAATGTCTTTATTAAATGACTTTTTCCAGATCTTGAAAGGAAAATATGGATTTAAGTCTGATCCATACTAAACATTTCCATGCACGTTATTGAGTGAACGTGTGTGAACGTTTAAGCTCTGAAGGCTTGTCCGAGCCACTCGTGTCGGTTACAGGGAGCAGAGGCCTAGAGTAATCTCTCCTGATCAAAGCCAGTAACCTGCGCTGATAGAAAAGCCAGGATTATTGTTGTACATCCGACCCAGCTCTCAGCAACCACCACGGTCAAGTAGAATACTAGCAGCTCTCGAAACCCCTCTTCAGCTTCCACAACAACCCTCTGCTTAGTTTTTATCTTTAAAAGTGTGTTTCAAGCGCAAGTCTTAAGCCTTTCTGAGAGGAAGGACACATACTTAAGAGGGCTGCTTTAATAAGCCGCCAGTGGAGACAAAGCCCTCAGCTGTAGTACAATGAAAGACATCAAATTTACAAGCAGGAGATTAAACAGCTTTCTGTCAGGGATCAAACATGCAAAACCATTCCAGGGGGATCATGCGTCCCTCAGTAGAGGATGAAAGAGAAGCGAGTGAAAGTCAAAATGAAACTTGACAGAAAGAAAGATGACTTGGAATGGATATCTATCTATCTATCTATCTATCTATCTATCTATCTATCTATCTATCTATCTATCTATCTATCTATCTATCTATCTATCTATCTATCTATCTATCTATCTATCTATCTATCTATCTATCTATCTATCTATCTATCTATCTATCTATCTATCTATCTATCTATCTATCTATCTATCATCTATCTATCTATCTATCTATCTATCTATCTATCTATCTATCTATCTATCTATCTATCTATCTATCTATCTATCTATCAGTCTGTCTGTCTGTCTGTCTGTCTGATCCATCCATCCATCCATCCATCCATCCATCCATCCATCCATCCATCCATCCATCTATCCATCTATCCATCTATCCATCTATCTATCTATCTATCTATCTATCTATCTATCTATCTATCTATCTATCTATCTATCTATCTATCTATCTATCTATCCATCCATCCATCCGATTATCTGTTTCTCTGTATTTAAACAATTTAGTATGTGCATATAATAATACAATTCTTTAGAGCACTAGATTTGACCTAAAGTGTAAAGAAATTGATAATTAAAATAATGACAATATGGTACAATAAAATACAACATAAATACAAACATAAAACATAAATACAACATAAAATATTTTATCAACTTAAAATATTTTAAAAGATAAAAGTTTTCTGTTTTAACCCATTTAACGGCTTTAACACAGGTGGGACACAGGTGTTTTTGTCTCAACCTGACCTTTAAATTGTTGAAATACTACATTTAATGTGCGTTTATCATCTATAATTTTCAGGTGTTAACAAAATGTGGTGTGACATATAGTTTAATATAGTAATGAAATGTATTATATACCTTGGGTTTCATTCATGCCTCCAGCCCACATGTTGCACACACAGTTTATTTATGTAGGATTGTGGGGAGTCTTTAGGTATTAAATATCACCAAAAGGTTTGTCTTGTAAAATGCTGTCAAATCCCAATTTATAGCTTCATATTGTTTTCAAAGTCTCTTCCCCTCGTGTTCTCTTATTGGTTTTAGTTTTGTGAAATCCTCATTAACCAGATGCTCTTGATTCATTGTTCTCTGGTGATATAAAAACAGAAAGATGCATCTCAAAAATCCTTTACTCAACAATTGGCACAACAAAATGAAAGCACCTGACCTTTGACTAAAGTCTTTATCGTTTTCTTGTCAGGGGAATGGAAAAATGACATGTTTATTCCCCTTTCATGTTTCTTTGCCCTCCCGATGTGAATTAATAATACGCATTTTCCTTTCCGGAGGGATGCTAACTTTTCGGCTCTGATGCATCAAGTGCTAGGCGGTTTCCGCGAGCCTGCTGATTTATGCGGGCCTGCTCAGAATCAAAAGGCCGCTCTTGTTTGCACGCACACACTGTGCACAGGTACGAACAAGAAAATCCCTGTTAAGTTGTCTTGTGGCACTTTGTCGAGAACAGCGGCGGGAACTTGGGGAATGTTACGTGGCCTCGAGAAGCCCCTGTGCAAAGTGTTAAGGAAGGGGGCAAAAGAAAAAAGTGAATGGAGAGCCGCTCTTCAGAAGTCGAGCCAGACCCGATGGCTCCCGTGAGGGACCTTGAGGGTCGGCGGCGCGGCTTCGGTTCTGTCATTTAGCCTGTTAGGTTTGTTTGACCCTTAGCCCCTAACAAGGGGGCAAGGGTGCAGGGCAGGCGTCAAGCGGCGCGCATGCTTTAATTTAACCTCATGTACGCGGCCACATGAAAGCGAATGGGGTGAAAAGGCTATGGAAACTTTGCAACAACTCTATCTATATCAGATTTTATTTTCTTGAAAAGTTTTTTTTTTTTTACATAAGAGTGCCACCATGAACTTACCAGACTCCAACCTGTATCTCTTCTTTTCTCACCCTGTCGGAGCAGGACTGCGGCCTAGTCGTCCGGCCAGACCAGCCCTGCGGTTTGGAGCCCATTCCAGGAGTGAGATCTTCAGGAGAGGCCCAGGCTTCACTTCGGCCTTGCCTCTCAGGAGATGAACCTGGTATGTTTGCTTCAGGTTTTGATCACCGGCTTGTAATTAAACATCTGAAATTTGAACTTGAAAGTTGCTGTAAGATTTAAAGTCCTGTTTTTCATGCAAGGCCATTGCAAAGTGTCTGTTTTATGGTCGGATGATATATTTACCGCCCATTTTTCTTTCTGTGCACAGGATCATGTTGGCCTTAAAACTGTATATTTTAGTTACAAAGTAGTTCATCATGTGTTTGGCTATATTAGCTTGAGATTCACGGTTTATTAGCTGCTACACTGGAGAATAGGAAAGGTTTGGTAGAGAACTGAAGGTTGGTAATTTATGTGTCTGCTTTTACTGTGTGATAAAGTTCTGATTCATCGCCTGAGTTGAATCATTGCTCGATTATAAGGTTAGGACTTCCATGCTGACTTTATGAGGGAATATAATCACTTCATACAGGTTTTTTTGGAGTGAGTTGTCCTTCTGCAGGGACATTCTGTGAATGTATGTTCAGCTGCTAGACCTTTTAGATTTAAAACCGCCAGGTTAGAGTTCAGAGGAGGTTTGCAGTCAGCGCTATAAAAGTAAAAAGGAAGGAATCAGCAGAACAGTGCATCAAAGTCAGCGAGAACTACTTTGTGTTTGATGGAGTCATATAGACTGTGTGTATGAGCTCATCTTCTTTCTTTCCTTAAAATGAAGTAAAAACTTGAGAATGTGACGTTTTAAAATCACTATTTGGGACATTCGTACATTTTCACTCACAAAAAATGTGACAGGGCCTGACTTAAACTTGTCATCCTCCAAAAAGTCATACAAAACAAGCAGAAAATCATACAATTCAATGATAGAATGCATCCTTGATCACTGTCAGCTTCTTCCTCGTCAAATGATGTCACTTCCGAGTCAGAGCCTTAAATGTGTAAAGCGAATGTGGCAAGGTGAGGAACTTTGGGTTTGGTCAGCGTGTGATTGGTAGATCAATGAAGTGCGAGCAGTCAGACTATTTAAGGACTCGTATTTTGACGGGCATGCGGTGTCCTGTTGATTTTGGGTTTTTTGGCTTCCTGGCATTCTCCTTTCTTTGATGTGCTCCTTTTTTTTACCTGTTTGAGTTGAGGTAGGGTAAGATGACTAGTTTGTATTATTGTGGCTGGGGAAGTTGAACTGTTTTTATTGATCGTAATCTTTTTAATTTTGCTCCTAATAAATCATATTTTTTGTATTGTTCCTCCTGTCTCTCTCCGGCTATTCCTTGCCATCAAAGTGGTAAAACTTAAATGTGAGTCATAAATGGGATTGATTCGCTTCTGAGGCTTAAGGCTTTGGGCCTTAAGGGCAGTGCCACACACACATTTTATGTTCAATTTAATGCAAATGCAACAGGATTACCAGAAACCTGGGGACAATTTATTTGTATTATAAATTTGTAGTATTTATTTGCAGAATTTATTTATCATTTCATGTTTTTAATCAGTTGATGTGAATGAGAACAACTTAAACTTGCTATTTCTAAAGTTTTATTTTTTTCTAAATAACAATTTTTACCATAACAAAACTATTAAAGCTGTAGGTTCAATTAGGCAATAATAAAGCACAAAAATCTGAGAACCAAATGAATTCCTTTACAGAACAACTGACAGAAATCAACTCTCAGTACATTTTAGACATTTTTGGGAGGAAACTCACTGTATTTATGTTTTTATTTCAGGTTCAGATAATGTACAATTCTGCTATAATGTCCCTCTTACATCTGGAATTTAAATAAAAGAAAATACAAGCTGATTACAAGCGAACATCAGTAAATAAAAGGTTTAAAAATGTTTTTGACCACTTTCAGAGGCAAACAAAAATGCATTCGACTGAACTGCTTTCATAGTGTAGATGCTCATGAGACTAAATGCATTTAAACAGCCACAAAAATCATCTAAACAAATTATTATAGTGTTTATTATGAGAACGTACACAAGAACAAGGTATTCATTCTTTGCTGTGCAATTGCTAAACACATGGATTATAATTTAAATAAAATTTTCTTAATTTCCTTGCCCTCATGTTGACTTGTAAGTCACATAAAATGGATTCAGGCGTGTAGTTCATTGTTCTGAGCGCTATAGCAAAAGTGAGTTAGAGCATGTTGAAATAAGATGGAAGGGTGTTGATGAAATCCATAGTGTTCACAAGAGACACATTTGAATCTATTTAAATACCAGGTGGAATCAGGGCCCTGTTTACTGTCTGAATCTGCTAATGGTGATGTAATCCTGTCTAGTTGGAATGTTAATATGAAATGTTTCCCCATCTGATTCAACATTTTATGGTGAGCATTTGATATGTTTACCGTTCGGCTGTTGAACACTTCAAAACTCCACTTCACTGTGAATCACATGAGCACTGTAATCTGAGAAAATGCGGTCATGGAAATCTAGCAAAATGCACTGTGAAGAAGCTATCACTAAATATTTTCCGTCTCCGTCAGGCCGCTGGGTCGTCCCGTGCCTGAGCTGTTCAGACAACAGGACTTGTGATTGGAGAGAGGTTTCCTGGCAGCCGGACAATTGTTATCACCCACTGCTGGATCAACCTCAGCTGCAGTCCTGCATGATGGAACGCAAGGTGAGCAACCGCAAGCACTGAAAATCAGAAATTATATAACAAGTCACAATATGGGGTTAGACTGATTTTGGCAGGTTTTGAAAGAAGTCTAAGTATACATTTGTTAAATAAAAAATAGAATAACACTATTTTAATGTCAAATTGAATCTTATGTAGGAAGAGCTGAATTTTAAGCAGCTATATTATTCGGTGATTCTCAGAAATTATTCTAATTATACTATTGCTATGCTATTGTTTAAAAAAAAAAAAGAGTTTAATGGGACCCAAAACCAACAAAAATCTAGGATTATTAGACTCTTGTGAAGTGCTTTATGGCGACTATGATCTAAACAGGGCTTAAGTGTAATGTTTAAATCAGAGATTTAAATTACTATTAATTCTAAAGAGATAGTTCACCCAAAATTTCTGTCATCATTTACTCTTTACTTGTTCCAAACCTGTTTGAGTTTCTTTCTTCTGTTGAACACAAAAGAAGATATTTTGAAAAATGGTGGTTGCTGGGACCCATTGACTTCCATAGTATTTGTTTTTCTTACTGTGGGAGTTGATTGGTGCCAGCAACCAACATTCTCAACACCTCTTCTTTTGTGTTCAACAGAATCAAGAAACTCATAAAGGTTTAGAACCACACAAGGGAGAGTAAATGATGAGGTATTATAAATTTTTGGGTGAACTATCCCTTAAAAATAAATCTTTATGTGCAGTCATGTGGGCCGGGACTCCCTCGAAGGAGAGATTTCAGTTAATCTCAATCGACTTTCCTGGAAAAATAAAGCATGCATAAATAAATATGCGGATATAGATAACATTTATTATTCTCAGCATTGAGATCAATTGTGCTACTTTGTTTTTGACAGTGAAGATCAACTTTTTAACAGCATTACAAGTGTCCAAATGTGCACAAATACGTCATCACTGTGTATTTGTGCTTAAATTGATAGAAGTTATTATATACTTTTACCAGTACTTTTGGCTTTAATCAACTTATTCTACATATGTACTTTTTACCCCTTATACAGTATGCTGTAGTTAGGCACACCTGACCAACTGCTCATTAAAGCAAATTTCTAATCAGCCATCTCTAGGCTTTACAAAGAATGCGGCAGTTCTGTGGGCGCAAATGCCTTGTTGATGCCAGAGGTCAGAGGAGAATGGCTAGCTGATAGAAAGGCAACAGTAACTTAAATAACCACTCGTTTCAACCGAGGTATGTAGAAGCGCATCTCTCAAAACTTCAAACCATGAGGCAAATGGGCTAAAGCAGCAGAAGACCACACCAGGTGTCACTCCTGTCAGCTAAAACAGGAAACTGAGGCTACAATTGGCACAGGATCACCAAAATTGGACAATAGAAGATTGGAAAAATGAGTCTTGATTTCTGCTGTGACATTCAGATAGTAGGGTCAGAATTTGGCATCAACAACATGAAAGCATGGATCCACCCTGCTTTGTAACAGTGGTTCAAGCTGCTGGTGGTGGTCAAGCTAATGGCGTGGGGGGTATTTTCTTGGCACACTTTGGGCCCATTAGTACCAACTGAGCATCGTGTCAACGCCACATCCTACATGAGTATTTTTGCTGACGATGTCCATCCCTTTATGACCACAGTGTACCCATCTTCTGATGTCCAGCAGGTGAACGCACCATGTCATAAAGCGCAAATCATCTCAGACTGGTTTCTTGAACATGACAATGAGTTCACTCTACTCAAATAACCTCCACCAGCACCAGAACTCAATCCAATAGAGCACCTTTGGGATGTGGTGGAACGGGAGATTCACATTATGGATGTGCAGCCGACAAATCTGCAGCAACTGCGTGACGCTATCATGTCAATATAGACCAAAATCTCTGAGGAATATTTCCAGTATTTTGTTAAATCTATGCCATGAAGGATTAAGGCAGTTCTAAGCAAAAGGAGGATTAACATAGTACTAGTACGGTGTACCTAATAAAGTGGCCGGTTAGTGTAGTGTATAGCAGGGGTGTCCAAACTCTGTCCTGAAGGGGCCAGTGTCCAAGAGATATTAGCTCCGACCCTAATTAACCACACCTGAACCAGCTAATCAAGCTCTTACTAGGAATACTAGAAACTTCCTGGCTGGTATGTTGAAGCAAGTTAGACCTAACTTAGCAGGACCGAGTTTGAACACCCCTGTACTATAGTAATTTCATTATATCATTTTCTGACTGTTTGATCTAGCCTTTTCCTGCACATCATGCTAAAATGCTTTCAATGATTATACCGTGTGCAGCTGACAGCTTTGCCATATGTATATCATATATAATCCTTAAGAATAAATAAATGTGGAAGGCAAGCAGCTTCAATAGCCTTGAAGTTCCAGTGGCAGATGTTTATCAGAGAGCAGGTGCTGAGCTTCATCTACAGCAACCACATGATTCAATTCCACTGCTGCTTTTATATGCCCTTGTAAGTATGCTGTAGATTTTCTTTCTGAGATGAGAGGGAAAATTACTTTAGAGAAGAAGAAAAAACACACACACACACACACTCTCTCTTGTGCTTGCGCCTCCATTTTATTTCATCGTATCTTTTTCTTCCATTTTTGCTTAATGCGATCTGCACACCTCTTGTGTTTTGAGTTGTTTTTAAATGATTGCTTAAAGCCCAGCAGGAGATTTTCAAAGCTGTGTGCCAAACCTCCAGTCTGTTCCCGCTTCAAACATTCCCCAAGCGCTCATCTTCACAGCACGACTGTTTCCACCCCGTCTCGATTTAAGACTCACAAAATCAGTTCTGACACAAACAAATGGCCACATTACACAAGGGCCCGGGCTCTAGCTACAGACAAACCGCAGCTCTCTGACTGCAAGCCCATGCTGCAGGGGGAAAAAAACGGTCTCTTCAGGAAAGATTGTTTGGAATAAAAGGGCTTTAGATTGTCAAGGTCTAGAGTTATACTCATGAGTATAATTTCATGTTTGAGTCATTTTCTGAGACGGCACTGCAGCTTTTTGAGTTCACAATGTCACTGTAAATATAATGTTGCTTTTTATGTACAAAACATATTTTTAACACATACAGTTGAAACCAGATGTTTACATACACTCTAAAAAAAGGTAACATAACCATTTTTTAAAAATGTTTGATGGTAAATCATACTAAATGTTTACTATTTTAGGTCCGTTAGGATTACCTAAATGATTTACATTTGCTAATTGCCAGAATAATTAGAGATTTTATTTTTTATTATTATAATTTTTTTTCAGAATTTTTTATTAATTTACAGACACTCAAAAGTTTTCATACATTTCATATATATATATATATATATATATATATATATATATATATATATATATATATATTTTATTTATTTTTTTTTTTATTTTTTTTGCTTAGCTTTCAAACTGTTAAACGTTGATCAAATGCATTGGGTATTCTTCCAAAAGCTTCTCACAATAGTTTGCAGGAAATTTGGACCATACTTCCTGACAGTATTGGTGTACCTGAGTCAGATTTGTAGGCTGTCTTGCTCGCACAAGATTTTTCGACTCTGCCCTCAAATTTTTTATAGGATTGAGATCAAGGCTTTGTGATGGCCACTGCAAAACATTTACTCTGTTGTTCTTAAAGCACATTTGAACTAATTTGGCAGTATGCTTAGGGTCATGGTCTGTTTGGAAGACCCATTTGTGGCCAAGTTTTAATTTCCTGGCTGATGTCTTCAGATGTTGCTTCAGTATTTCTACATAATGTTCTTTCTTCATGATGCCATCTATGCTGTGAAGTGGACCAGTCCCTCCTGCAGCAAAACAGCCTCACAACATGATGCTGCAGCCCCTATACTTCACATTTGTAATAGTGTGCTTAGGCTTGTGAGCTTTCCCCTTTGTCCTCCAAATGTAACACTGGTCATCATGGCCAAACAGTTCCATCTTAGTTCCATCAGACCACAGGACATGTCTACAACTATTGGTCTTTTACCCAGTGTAATTTAGCAAATTATAATCTGTCTTTTTTTGTTGATTCTGGCTTGTTGATTTTCCCACGTTGTCACGCAAGAAAGCAGTGTGTTTGAGGTTTTCCTTTAATAATATTTTACAGTTGTGCCTCAAATGTTGTCAATTAGCCAATTAGAAACTTCCAAAACCTTGACACAATCATCTGAGCTTTTCCAGAGGTATAATAATCTTATTGTATGTAAACTTGACTTTCAAGAAAAGCTATCAATTTCTCAAAAATATCTCTCTCATTATTCTGCTATTAAGCATAACATAAACAAATGTGATAATCCTAACTTACATAAAAGAAAAACAGTTTAACATCTGACTCTTTACAAAAAAAATGGTTATGTGCCTTTTTATACAGTGTATCTTCTGGTTTCAACTGTAGTTGAACAAAGAGATTAGCTAAAAAGGCTTTGAAATCGGGCAAAAAGTTGTTAAAAGAGGATTATTGTATAGTTTGTATAAAAAAAATTATGATATCACTTGAAAATAGGTGTAATGGTTTATAGTTATGCTATTGAACAAAGCTTATTTTTGGTTTTATTCTTTAAACTGTTGATGATATTTCTCCATATTTATGTTTAATATCATTTTTAGTCACAATAAATAAACACAATACCAGCTTTTTAACTTAAGACTGGTAAGAAATCAATATTTGGTGGAATGGCTCTTTTATTTTTAAATGCACCAACAAATTAAATCATTTGTTATTCTGACCTTTTTTTATTTTGTGAAATATAAGAATAAGAATGCTTGGAATGTACAAAATTCTTAAATTTTAGCATTCTCAATCAAAAACTATTAGAAATACGTAAAAATAAATGTCAACATTGTTAATAAATATTGGAGCTACTTACAGTCCATAATTACAATGTTACATCTTGTTGATGTTGTTTTCTTTTATCCTTCACTCAAAAAAATGTCAATTCAGGTTTGAAATGACACGAGTGCAACTTCTGACGTCTTGCTGAAAGTATGTGTCCTTAATCTTGTGAGCATGTTCGCAGACCATAGTGTGAGCCAGTGCCCGTGCTAAGAGATCTTGTGATTTAGACTGGCATTCCTGCCAATTGCATTGCCAAATGTGCACACAACGGACGAAAAAATCAGACTCTTGTGAAGTGCTTTATTATGGCGACTGTGATCTCAGCTATTTATCGTTCTATCATTCTATCTATTGTTCTATCATTCTATTTATCATTCTATCTATTGTTCTGTCGATCTATTTATCATTCTATCTATTGTTTTATCGATCTATGTATCGTTCTATCATTCTATTGTTCTATTCTATTTATTGTTCTATCTATTGTTCTATCAATCTATTTATTGTTCTATCATTCTATCTATTGTTCTATCATTGTATCTATTATTCTATCGATCATTCTATCTATTGTTCAATCGATCTATTTATCATTCTATCTATTGTTCTATCATTCTATTTATCATTCTATCTATTGTTCTATCGATCTATTTATCATTCTATCTATTGTTCTATCGATCTATTTATCATTCTATCTATTGTTTTATCGATCTATGTATCGTTCTATCATTCTATCTATTGTTCTATTATTCTATTTATCGTTCTATCATTCTGTCTATTGTTCTATCATTCTATTTATCATTCTATCTATTGTTCTATCAATCTATTTTTGTTCTATCATTCTATCTATTGTTCTATCATTCTATTTATCATTCTATCTATTGTTCTATCAATCTATTTTTTGTTCTATCATTCTATCTATTGTTCTATCAATCTATTTATTGTTCTATCATTCTATCTATTGTTCTATCATTGTATCTATTATTCTATCTATCATTCTATCTATTGTTCAATCGATCTATTTATCATTCTATCTATTGTTCTATCATTCTATTTATCATTCTATCTATTGTTCTATCATTCTATTTATCATTCTATTTATTGTTCTATCGATCTATTTATCATTCTATCTATTGTTCTATCGATCTATTTATCATTCTATCTATTGTTTTATCGATCTATGTATCGTTCTATCATTCTATCTATTGTTCTATTATTCTATTTATCGTTCTATCATTCTGTCTATTGTTCTATCATTCTATTTATCATTCTATCTATTGTTCTATCAATCTATTTTTGTTGTATCATTCTATCTATTGTTCTATCATTCTATTTATCATTCTATCTATTGTTTTATCGATCTATGTATCGTTCTATCATTCTATCTATTGTTCTATCAATCTATTTATTGTTTTATCATTCTATCTATTGTTCTATCATTCTATTTATCATTCTATCTATTGTTTTATCGATCTATGTATCGTTCTATCATTCTATCTATTGTTCTATCATTCTATTTATCGTTCTATCTATTGTTCTATCAATCTATTTTTTGTTCTATCAGTCTGTCTGTTGTTCTATCAATCTATTTATTGTTCTATCATTCTATCTATTGTTCTATCATTAATTAATTATTGAATGCTTTTTGATAGTCTTTTTTTATGAAACAGCCTTTTTGAGGGTTGCACAGATTGTATATAAATATTGCTTTGCACAATACAATTATTTCATGAAAACTTTGTGGACAAAATGGTCCTGAAAAGCTTAACAATTATCAAAAACAGATTAAGAATTTATTTGTATTCAAGCAAAACATTTTTTAAAACCACACCAGAATTTTTAAAAAGGCATACAGTATTTTTTTTAAAGAAACCAGTCCAGTTTTTACAGCACCTAACATGCATTCATTCTTTCCCCCAGGTCCTGTTTATCGGGGACTCCACCAATCGAGGGATGATGTACTACTTGATGGAGAGGGTGAACACCACGCTGGAGGACTGGGACAAAGCCCACAACACCATCGTCTACCACAACCTGAACCAAGGCCGAACTATCGTCAGCTACTCCTACTACCCACAGTTCTGGCTGCCAAAGAGCCACAGACCCACCTTCCAAAGAGCTCTGCAGCAGCTTCTAGAAAGGTCTGTATGTACATGTTGAATGTTGTTTGTCTCCGTTAGACCCATTAAGCTGTGAATGTGCGGGTTTGGTGTCTGTCTAAAGTGGCAGAGGCCTTGTTAACACACTGAATGACTTTGGCAGCGGGTTTGATGGTGGGATGTGGGCTGTATGTGGTCGGCAGGCTGTGTGTCAGATCAGAGTATCTCACCAGGGATGGTAACCGCTGCTGGCTCAGCGCGCCGCTGACCTCACACTGCTACTGATGTGGCCAAGGGCTGAGATATGCAGCACAGATGTGATTGCGGGTTTGTTAGTGGGATGCATGTGTTTGGGAGCTGTTAAAATGTTCTGCCGCATTACGTTTTTGTGTAACAAAATTAAAAAGCAGTTATGTTTTATGTTTTTTTTATGCTTCATTTTTGTCAGCTGATGCAGTTTGAGTAAAAAAAAACTATTAAATATCAATAATGCTGCTTTTATTGAATTGACTTTGTTCTATAATTGATGTTTTTTGCTACTGTAATATTATTGAAATAAGTAGAATCCACAATAAACTGATTAAAGCCAAATAACAACACTATTGACTTCTGTTTAGCTTCTTGTAGCTTAATACATTTAATTTTATGACATATTTTGCTATATAAACACTTATTGAACTGAATTACCTTTCAACTCATTCTATTCTGGGGTCTGTGGATTACTCAGTTAGCTGGATTTACTCAATTTACTGATGATTTGACACGGAAATTTGCTTGGGAAAATGGTTTAAAAAAAGTTTATATATACACATTTATAATTTATAATAATTAATATTATTTATTTTAAATAAATAATAATATTTGTTTTTATACATACAGTATAAGTTTAAAAATATATATAAATAAAACAATCTGCACTCTGAAATAAAAGTACAAAAACGGGGTGTTTCTTCCTTAGGGGACCAAAGAGAACATTTATTATATGGATTTTTTAGATACAAGTGTGTACTATTTTAAGGTACTGATCCAGCTTTAGTACAATTTCTGGTTGTTAATAGACATGCACAATATTCAACTTTTTTTTTTTGTCTGATGGTTTGTTTCTTTTTATAAAGGAATGATCATTTATGCATCATGCACGTTTTGACTGCTAGTATGCCGGTGATTTGATGTTTTGCAAAAGTTGCAGACACCTTTACCGATATCAGTATGGTTTTTTGATGCAAAATTTATTTAAATTCCTTACATCGATTAATAAATTAAAATAGGCCGGCTACTATAGTAAATAAAATCCTGTCTAAAATGTAAAACTAAATAAATTGCTAAATACTCTTGACACATGAAAGTGTAAAGCCTGTAGCCCAAAACAAAGTTATTGTTATATGATATTTACCAAACCCTTTACTAAAAAAAATTATGTAATTTTGCTAACATGGATAATTGAATATTAATCAGATGATTTCAGTATGCTGCTGTGCATTTTAATAAACTGAATTAAATTTACATTGAACTGACTTAAGTTAAACAATGACACGTGCCTTCTGTTGAGCTGCTTATAGAAAAATTTACATTGTTTATCAACTTATATATTTTGCAATGTTGACACTTGCTAAACTAAACTGCATCCACATTAGACTAGCCGAGCCGAATGAGAATGTTTGCTTGCTTGTTTGTTTGTTTGTTTTTTTCTTAATGTTAAATTTATCCTGAAAGTATAGTTCACTCAGAAAATGAAAATTACCTCATCGTTTGTTCTCCATTATGTGCTTTTTAAACCTTTATTTAAACACAAAAGAAGATATTTTGAAGAATGCTATCAAAGTCAATGGATTCCTTTAGCATTTTTCCAAATATCTTCTTTTGTGTTCAACAGAAGAAAGAAACGCAAATCTGTTTTGAACAAATGAGGCCTGAGGAAATTATGGTCGAATTAATTTTTTTTTTGGTGAACCATCCTATTTATTAGTGAGTTTTACAATTTATGGAACTAAATGGAACTGATTTCAGGTCACAGCCGCTGGAGAACTCTCCTCAGACAGTGCTGGTCGCTGGAGGGGTGCAATGGCTGAACCTGAACCATTTGAGGACCATTCGGCAGGTTTTGGAGAGGTGAGAATGGATGCAAATGTAACAAATAACCAGCCTGTTCATTATTAGGTTGTCACTTTTTAATGTTCCATTGGTGGACACTTTTTTCCCCCTCCTTTTTAAAGCAATAATTCACTCAGAAAAAAAAAAGATTATAGACAATTTGCTCATCCTAGTCCTAGGTGTTGTATGATTAACTTTTATAATGAATGAACACATTAGGAGTTTTGAAAACTTCATATATATTTTTAATTATGATCTACTCACCCTTGACTTCTTTTGATTTGTTTTATTTTGTTTAACACAAAAAAAAGATATTTTGAAAAATGTTGGAAAAAATGTAACCATTGACATCCATAGTTTGAAAAACAAATACTACGAAAGTCAATGGTTACAGATTTCCCACATTTTTCAAAATATCTTCTTTTGCTCTGAATAGAATAAAATAGAATCAAAGTTTTTTCATGTTTGGCTCAAATGCCCCTTTAATATAACTCCAATTGTGTTTACCTGTGTTTACCTAAATGAATAAAGACATAAAAATGCAGGATTTGTTAAGGATGAGTAAATTAGGATTTTTTTTTTAGATTACAACCAATTACAACCAATGTGGTTTAGAAAGATTAACAGTAAATGTCTTATCTCTAAGGGAGGGTCTTGAAAACATCATGGTGGTGGTGAAGTCTTTAGGAATGGGTTTCCATCTGCCCGTAGATGGTATCCGCTCCCTGTCACTGGTAAGAATCACTGGAGATCATAAAAGGTTCACAAATCTGTAGACCAGACATTCGCTTGATTCTTTTCATAATTGAGTTATAGAAACGTGTCAGACTTATCATCTTCATTCATTGATTCTAGAATGGTGTGCAAGAACTCTATAATGCGAACAAGAAGATTCTGGAAAGTGCCAAGCATCTTGGGTATGAGGTCATTGACACGCTCAGCATCACCATGGGCCGTTATAAGGAGTTCCTGCAGGGACGATGTGCTTGCCATTTCCATGAGGTAAACTGAAATAGATAAAAACTTAGCTCTTTTAAATGATGATAATATTTTCCATAATAATTATTTTAACTTAATTATTATTAACAATAAGAGGTGAGCATATGAGGCTTTACTTTTTTCAAAATATTTCAGGCCTCAAAGTTTGAGTCGATATTTTAACAGTATATATACACTATTAAAAAGTTTATATATAGCCATCTTGCATAGATACTTGTATTAATTAAAATAAACTATATTCTTTGTTCAAGAAAGAGAACCACTGATTCGGTATAGTGGTTTCACAGAACTTACAAAGCCAAAAACACTTTTTTTTAAGCCTAATTCTGTAAATTTGTATCTGCAATTATATTATTATGTGTGTAATTTATTGCACAGAAGCCATATCTGATTTTTGAATGAAATCATTCTACCAGTCACACTCATTCATATATGGACATAAATCCTGCTAAAAGGGAAGAGAAAAACTCTTTTTTTAGGCTTCCAGTCTCATAAATCTTTTAAAAGAGAAGCCATTTCTGTTTTATTTGACCCTAAAAGTGCCCTGTGGATCAGTTAATGAGTAATTAGCAATTAGACAGGTTTTTATTACCCAATAAAGGGCAGGTTGGGAACAGATGTGCTGGCACACCAAGTATGTGAAGTGGTGGTAGAAACACCAAATCTGCTTGCATCTGGGACTGATATCACCACATCTGACAACAGGCCAGCAGATTTGCACCAGACTAACCACACGACACTGAACATCAGGGTGCTTGCTTAAGTTATAAAGCAGCATTTCTCAATCGTGGTTTACTTGCTTATATTTAACACACCTGATTTAGATGAGCAGCTGGTTAGATGAGCGCCGTGCAAACTACAAATAGAATAAAACACAATATACATCTTACAGACTGAAACTGAATTTTAATGAAACATAACCATAACATTTAAGTGAAATCATGGCAGAATATGGTGTGGAGTCTACTTTGCAGGGGATTTATTGTCAAATTAGATTAAAAAAAAATACATAAAAAGAGAAACATGAGATCAGGATTGATAAATGGTGTTTTAAAGGAACTATTCCTTGATTTTTTTGGTCATTTGTGCACTTTTACAATGTTGTTTAGTGCTCAGAGGCAACAAGATCTTAACTATTGTGTCTTCTAGAACAGGGAGCTAATAAGAATTTTCAATTTAAAGAGGATCTAAAACTGAAGTGAGGTAAAGGCTTCTTCCCACACAAAGAGAGAGATAACGTTATTTGCTTACATGATCAAAATCTTTCATTCCTTGCCTACGGAGTACAACTCATTTTACAGATTGATATTGAATACCATAATAAGTCGGGAAGCTCTGATCAGGATTTATCCAGCCGATACCGAGTACCGATTCCTTGTCATGGTGATCGGCTGATACAGAGTACCGATTGCAATGCTTGAAGCTAATATTACATAAAGCATATTTTCCCTCTGTGTAAGATGCTTAAGTGGAGCTTTCTCCTTACCCAAGATGATAAACTAAGGATGCTGCATACAATCCTACAGCATATAATCTTAAACATGTCTCTTATAACTATTTAGCGTGGACAGAAGCAGCTTTGCAGAAAATAATAGATGATATACTTGAGAGTCGTGGATCTTAGAGGTCATACGGTTGGACACAAGTTGGGGCTGATTGCTCCGCTCACGCCACAGCAGCTCAAATCTGGATATATAAGGGTTGCAACTAAGAGACCATCACTTGATCAAGTTGTGCCAATAAACTGTAAAACTGTATACCTATAGCTGCTGTGATGCATACGTAGCAATCGTTTACACCCCCAAGCATCATTTACCTCCTCACATGTGATGCTATCAGTATAATCCAGTGCATCTGCCTGTAAACTCATTAACAAACACTTACAATTAGTTCATGTGATCGGTCAGATTGGCGAGTACCGATAGAGTCATTAACTGTGATTATCAGCCGATCGATCGGTGCATCTCTAATAACTCTGAAAACTGGACTGACACAGTTTCAGTTTACTAGAGCTTCTGTTAAGCTGCTTTGACACAATCTACATTGTAAAAGTGCTTTAAAAATCAAAGAATTTATTTATTATATTCATTAATAATAATAATTATATACAATCATATAATAATATGTATTTAATTAATTAATTATTAAGAATTTAATGATAAACAGTACCATGGGCTCTGAATTATGTATTTTATTGTCATCCTTTCTAGAGCAGTGAGATATTGGCAAGCAGACTATTAAACAGTTTGCATGGAATTCCTCTTTCATAAATTACTGCACATGCATTACACTAATAAAAATGTATATCTAGAGAGTTCAGATGCAAACACCTCTAAGTTCCATCAGAGATTTTCTTCTAAAATTAGCATTTTCCCCAGGCTCCTATTTGCATGTTCGGTAATTTCACTTGTATGGAAAAGAATAGTTTTTTGTATGGTCTTTAACATGAAATAACTGAACACAAAGACAACAGATTGAGAAAAAATGCTTATTTTAGAAGAACATTTCAATAATAAAACTTTTGTTTTACATTTGAACTCTTCATATATACATTTGCATTGCAATACGCTAAGTATATTGTCTGTATGTTGTCTATATTATGAAGTATAGACATAATCAACAACTTTCAATGCTTTAATTTAGGTGTTGATTACTATGCTTCATTGGATTTTTAATATTTATAATAATAATAATAATAATAATAATAATAACTTCACATTATTATTATTATTATTATTATTATTAACTTCAAATAAAAATTTTTTTTAATTGTTGCAAAAAGTTTACATCACAAAACAGGGAACAATCAACATCGCAAGCAAGGCATGTTTACCATTAAAATAAATTAAATTAATTAAAATGGTTACAACTGCAACAAGGAGCAAGGAGCAGTACAAAAGACCTAGATCAAAGGAAAAAAAACATTATAACAATAAATATTCTGAAAATGAAGTACAGAGAGCTTCAGTTATTTTACTTTGGTTTCTGTAGTATTTGAAGCTTTGAGCCACTTTCTCTACCTCAGAAAGAAAACATCTAAAAGAGGGTCTACACTTTTCCCACTTACAACAATGAATATAATATTTGCCCATTAGTAAAATAAAGTTCACAACATCAGAGAAAGAAAAATGTAAATCACCTTTGTAAAATAAAATAAAATCCTCTAGAACAATAGGGGGGACTTAAATCATCTTTAATGAAAGCCAAGTATGGATGTCAAACCAGAATTTAAAAGTAAATTCACAAGAAAAAAAAAAACGTGATCTAGTGTTTCTGGAAAATTTAAGCAGAAGCTACACTTTTTAACATCTTTATTGAATAAACTCATTCACATGATATATTCCAAATAAAATTTTGTGATGAGTTTCCTTAACCCTATAGGTGCTACAGGATATTTAAGATAAAAGGCTTCAAATAAAAGTTTGTATGATAGTAATCCACCTCTTAAATGTATAGTTTGTTTCCTGCATGCCTTATACCTTGAATAAAGACTTTATTAAATTCCCTATCTCGAAAAAATACCTGAAAGAAATCCTCCTGGAACCAATGTAGCCGGAAAATCAATTGGAAGATTCTAAAGAGCTCAAATGTGACTGAGATGCATGACCTTGAAGATCATATTACGCTGTTTGCAGGTCTATAAGGTTCCCTTTCCAACTGCTGCTTCCCAAAGAAAGCTGAAGATTTTGAGGGTGGGTGGAAAAAGCGGGAGTCTGGCCGATGAACAAACGGGCCCTCAAGAGCACGAAGATCCATCATGCCAACCTGACGTGTCCTACCAAGTAAAGGGACCAGTGAACGCTGTGTACTCTGAGATCCTCCTCAGCAGGATATGTTTCAATCACGCCATCAATGGGACCATTCGCCAACATTAAGACAATTAGCGGCCGGTGACGCTAAGCTGTGCGTGTTTTTCAAAGTGTGTGTGTAGCTGTTAATATGAGAAAAATGTGTATATAAGGGCTAAACCGATTGGTTCGAGTCAACTTAAACATATGCTGGATCAAAGTGTTAAATTGAAGGACGATTTAGGTAGGTGTCTGTTTGTGCAGGTGTGCAACGGGATCCAGATGGACAAGGGGTGTAAGGGTGTACAATGGGACCCCCTGAAGCCCTGCCGAAATGACTTTGGCAGCTGCGGCTTAAGAGCAGGCAGTGACTGCGGTGCATCAGTCGCGCAGCCCCTTCAAACAGCCTCGCAAAAACCTTGCGACAACACTCATGCAACGTTCCTACAATGCTGCTACTGCTGAACCACAGGCTGAAATGTTCCCAATATGTTTGGGGAACGTTAGGCGGCTGCTGTGGAGTGCCTTTGATGTCACCCTGCCTCACATTGTCACTTTTATGGAAGCTCGGGCAACGTTTTGAAGTCTAGCTTTACACCCCCCTCCTTTTCCTACACATGCCAGGTTCGCAAGTATTTATGAAGTATTTTCTATGCCAAAGGTCTTATGAAGCATATTGTATGATATAGTTATGTTCCTCACACATATTTCTACATTTATTTTTCTACCCGTGCTTTCCAGTGCCTTTAATAATAATCTGTGTAAGATGTTGTAAAAGCTGTTTACATGAAAGAGGATATTTATACTGTTCTGGTGGTGATATTGTTGCTGGGTTTATGCTTAATTGCTGGAATGCATGAAAATGTTTCATTTGTCCATCATTTACGTTAAACAGGAAATAGTTTGTGGAAAGAACAAATTAGCAGGATTTATTTAAAATATCCCATGAAAAAAAGTCTCTTCCCACCAGTTGTTATGAGCTCGGTATGAGCATGAATGTTATTTCCACTTAAGATGATTTCAGATGAAACCTTGTGTTGACCTGTTAAGATTCCGCGTCTTGTGATAACTCTTGATGTGTCAGAATTTTAGGTTTATTGAAAATGTTTTAGATGTTTATGAAGGGCTGTCTCATGATATGTGTCTGGTTGCCGCAGCATATGCATGAAATATATGATTCCATCAACGTGAAATGTCACTTAACATATCGAAAAATTAAAAAAATGTATATTTTTATAATTTAAATGCATTGATTTGATGAAATTTTCAAATGTTTGCTTGTTTTTAATTTCATTTTACAGTTTAGGTAATGTTATTAGGAGAAAAACTACATTTGCCATGCTGTGTGTTCTATTCCTTTGCTCAAAATCTATTTAATTAGCTTATTAGTAGATAATAAGCATTGTCATGCTTATGACAATATAATTACATGTTCTAATAACAATTTGCTAACATTAGATGGTATATTTTTAATCATTATTTTGATTCTAATTATCTTAGCCCTATTTCTGTACCACTTAGTAATACAAGTACACCATCATCGACACAAAAATAGAAATCTGTTTTGTTTTTCTAAGCTTTTAACTCGTTTTATTTACTCCAAATCAGAAGTGTTTTGTTGTAAGCTATATGAATCTATATAAAGAACCAAACTAAAGTTTGTTATTAATTACTTGTGGTGAACATATGCACATAACATTGATGATGTGCTCATATTTTATATATTTGTGCCTGTGCGTTTTTAGTTTGTTTTGTTAATTATAAAATCTACATTTAGCGTTACAGTCTTTTTTGTTTCGTAATTAAAGTATTAATGCCGTGTTTATAGAAATTACATGACATATCAGTTTTAAATAACTTCTCTTTTAAAAGAAAGAAAGAAATGTTAACAATGATAAGGTTTGAGTATTTCCACCTGACGCAGCAGGTAATTAATACACGCTTACAACACGCTATCCCTTAAGAGCATTTTCTGATACATTTCTCGTCGATAAAGAGAGACCGAGGAAGCTGGTATAACTATTATTATTCTTATCACAAATTTATATATCGCAAAACGCAACATAAACACAAGTAGGTTAACGAATTGTAAATCTGTGTCCGAATTGCTGGCAATTATTGAAACCAGTTTGTGCGTTTTAAAGTTATCGTATATTTAAAACAATGCGGTAGTTAACTTTTTGGCTTTTACATGTTTCAGTATGCCTGTTAAAGCGTCTTTGTTGGTTTATCTGATGTCCTGTCTTTATTTTTAACCTTGTTTTCAAAAAATATGTCACCTATAAAGTTAAATGAGGTCAGTTAAGTCATTTTCATCCTTAACACGGTCTTTTAAATCTCATAAAGCTAAAGTGAAGCTGGTGAACGACTGATTCTTTCTTCCCATCACTGTGTTCGCTTTGCGCTCTCTCACCGGACACCACGCCAAGATTTCTCTTTCCAATCAGCGTTGAGAACAGTCGTGTCTTTTGAATATTAATGAATGGTTACACCAATCACAACGTGGGTTCGTTTCACAGAAGAGTGTTTAGTTGCGCGTTCTCCATCAGCAGCATAAAACTTAGTGTCTATTGGAGTTTGCGCTCATGGCGAAGGTGACTTGCTGGTGGTTGGACGTTACCTGCGTCTTGATGGATTCTTAAAACGGAGACTTAAAAGCGTCGTTTGTGGATTACAGGTGCTACATATTAGATGCAGTGGACCGGCATGAATCGTCTTTGTCAAAACGTTCAGTTCGGGACTTGTTAAATGAAGTGGACATGGATAATACCGGTTGTGGGATACATGCAGTTCATCATTTATTCCTTATATGGCTCTCCGTTTACCCTTTGTGCTCTCAGGGAAGTTGGATGTAAGTATTCCACGCGCTGTCTTGTTTTAACTATCAAATAATGTTTGAATAAATTGTTTGAAAATTGTCTCCTTTTCCTCGGGCCTGGTTATGGCATTTCAATCCAGGCCGACAGGAGAGGAGAACCGCTTCTGATCTTTGTGTCACACTGCTCCGCATCACAGGTGGTTGGGCATCACATCTGTAGGAGTGCCCGAGAAGTTGGGTTGCGCGCATTTGCCCCTGTCGCACAAGCAGAAGGAGCTGTGCGCGCGCAAACCGCATCTTCTACCGAGCGTTAAAGAGGGCGCGCGCCTGGGCATCACCGAGTGCCAAACTCAGTTCAGACACGAACGCTGGAACTGCTCGACCCGACGGGACCCGAACGTGTTCGGCTACGAGCTCACGAGCGGTATGCATACAATGTCTCACATTTACGTTTTGTTTTAACTTTATTTAAAATCTGGAGGTAATTTTATTAACGATAACAAATAGTATGAACAGCAGATTTAAAAGATCATGAGGAGAAAAATCACTTAGGTCGGGCAGGCTTTCTAAACGTTTTCAATAGTACTAATACAATATTTTTTTATATAATATAACATAGGCTAATATATAATATAATATAATATAATATAATATAGTATAATATAATATAATTTAAAACATTAATGTAATGAATAATCATTTAAGAAATGTTATCAAACATAATTTTTTATATTTAAAAAACTCTTAAATACTTAAAAATTAAGTCTTGTATATTGACAAATACGATGTTTAATGTGCAAAATTAGTCAGGCTGTTCAAAGGGATGGTAGTCTCCTTTTATTAAAGCTATAAATGTAGAAAACATGTTAGTGGAAAACATTTTTGTGGTTATTAGACGCTTCAGAAACATTAATGACTATAATATTGGCCATAACACATCTGTATTCAAGTAATTATGTATTTTATACACTTAAAAATGTGTTGTTGTAACACAATTGGTGGTTCAAATATGGAAAAATATAACCATTGGGTTTAAAAGTGTTATTTACATTTAATTATAAAAATGAAACCAATGTTGGGTTTGTCCATATTTTGCACAAGGTTGGGTTACAAGAACCCATAATTTTCATAGAGTGTAATAAGAGATAACTTTGTAATTACTTAAAGCATCTGGGTGTACGCGATTTATTTATTTTTTATGATTTATTTTTTATCTTTTGGTTTGTTTGTACCAACTTTTGTTAGACTGTTTTGATTTTAAATACAGATTCATGTTTTGATCAGACTAGATGATTTGATTCTGGGAACAGCAGTGATGCACATCTGTTTTCTGTTAACCATTTCTATACTTAATGTACTATGCTTTTTAGTTGGCCCTGAATTGAATGCATGCAGGATTAGATTGATTACGAAGCAAAAAGTCAACCTGCAACTTGTTTCTTGATTTTTGTAAATCCCTTCCTTAGATTGCCCCCAAGTTTCTGTCACAGAGCGATTCAAACACAAGCACAGTTTGAGTTTAAACCAAATCTGATGTACTGTCCGTCTGATTTCTTCCAGTGACAACCTGGCTTTAGACCAGTTTTGTAGATATCCCAATATTATATCTAAAATTAATTTTAAAAACCTTCACAAATGCAAGTTTGTTATTCTTTTCAATTTTATTCTATACTATTATATTCTGTTTACATCTCTATTTTATTGTATTTTATTTTATTCTGTTCTATTCTATTATATTCTGCTATATTCTGCTCTGTTCTATCCTGTTCTGTTCTATTCCATTCTGTTCTGTTCTGATCTATTTTATTCTATTCTGTTCTTATCTCTTCTATTTTGATCTGTTCTGTTCCATTTACTTTCTGCTGTAAATGTTGAGGTTATCTCTCTTAAAATTAATAGAGAACTGAAAATTAAAGTAAAAAATTAAACCAAAAGTTCTAAACTATATTTAATCAAAAATGATCTCTGTGTAATGGTTTTGTAACAAGTTTGCTCCCAATTTCCTAATTAAAACTATATATTTTCAATGAGATATGCATTTAATTTAGATATAAATTCATGTATTTACTGTAGTCATATTTAACTGCAGTCTTTGAAATGTGCATCAGTCATTTAAATAATAGAGACTGAAATTACGATTATTTTCATTCAGTTTTTTATATAACATCATCTGTTTTTATACTAAGAAATCTCTCAGCCAAACACGTTTGCTCATTTTTTCATGCATGACTGTAAAAAACTTTCCCAGACTCCTCTGCCCTGATGCTGCTGCACTGAGACACTTTTCCACAAATGTCCTGCTGTGCATCTTGCATTCCCATATCTTCTGGTTCTTCCACATTTGCAAGTACTTGACCAGTATTGGCATCTTGCTTAAATTATCTTTACTGATTTTTTTTTTTTTAAGGGACTAAAGAGACAGCGTTCATCCATGCAGTAATGGCTGCCGGCCTGGTTCATGCAGTCACCCGCTCTTGCAGTGCAGGAAATATGACAGAGTGTTCATGCGACACAAGCCTGTTGGGCAGCGGGTCGCCTACCGAGGGCTGGCATTGGGGCGGCTGCTCTGATGACATCGCCTTCGGGACTTCATTCAGCCGCCGCTTTATTGACAGTGCAGCGAAAAACACCTCGACCCGTGGTGAGGAGGCCCTGCTCATTATGAAGCAGCATAACAGTGAGGCTGGGAGACAGGTGGGTGACAGAACTAACCTTTCTTATGTGCATTGTTAGAAGTACATGCAGTTGAAGTCAAAACTATTAGCCCACCTGAGAATTTTCTTTTCCTTTTTAAATATTTCCCAAGAGCAAGGAATTGTTTGCAGTATTTCCGATAATATTTTTTCTTCTGGAAAAAGTCTTTATTTCCTCTAGAATAAAAGCTTTTTTTATCATTTAAAAAGTATTTTAAGGTTAATATTATTAGTCCCTCTTATGCAATATACACCATTGCTATACAATGACTTGCTTAATCACCCTAACTTGCCTAATTAAGCCTTTAAATTGCAATTTAAGCTGAATACTAGTATATTGAAAAATATCAAGTCAAATAATATCAGGAAATTTATTAGAAATTAGTTATTAAAACTATTAGGTTTAGAAATGTGTCTTTTTTATAAAATAGTAATTGTGGACAAATTAATAATTATAATAATTCAGGAGGGCTAATAACTATATAGCAACTATATGTTGAAAGAAATGAGACACACTTCCAGACGCACTATTAGTTCCATGGGAATTTAAAAAAAAAACACACTTCAATAATAAAACTCATGGACTGAAATCAGCAAAGCTCTGATATGAATCTTAACATTCCAAAGTTTATTTGTAACAAAAAAGTTGAACAAATGGACAATACCTTATATAACGTTTTTCTACAAACCCCCAAAGTATTGCAAATGATGTTATCAGTTTGCTATGCTTTGTGGAAGTGTGTGGTCATTACTGAGCTGATACGTTTGCCGTATCATAGTAACATCCGCTGTTAATAGCTTTCTTAACCTATCTACATTGATTTATTAAGCATTTATTACTATTTGCATTTTCTTTACCTCTTGCATACCATTGTGAGGGATGGAAACTAAAACAATGGTCCCAACGTATGTACTGTTGTATATTTTTAATTCCTATAGCTTCCGAGAATCCAAAAAGAGACACATATTGATAAATAATGTTATGATAACTGTTTTAACATTAAATTATGATTATGTTACCTCTTGTTACAGTTTGATAACAAGCAGGAAATGTTTATGGGCCAACGACGTGACCACATTGAAGTGGTCTATTGTTGTTATTTGCATTTTATTTACAGCTTTGGTCTGCTCTAGCTGTTTTGAAAGCACTCTATAAATGTAATAACTAAACTTCGATCTCCTTTAAGGATTATGAGAACTTCTTAAGAGCTTATAAACATAATTTTTAAATAAACAATAATTTTCACTGACACACAGAGAGATAAAGAGAAACACTAAATGCGTCTCAAATGGCACATTATACGCTATGTACTTCTGCACTGACACACTTAACAGCATAGTATACAAATGTTGTGTCGTGCCAAATGGAACACTAACGTTTTTTTCTTACTAAGCGGAAATTCGAACCGTTTCCCTGATGACGTTTGACGGTTGCCAAATTAGCTAAATAAATGACCAAACAACCAAATAACCCATGCCATGAGTATAATCGCATTCACTATTGGGAGGCGGTTTAATCACTTTCGTTTGCTTTCACAATCCAAAATAAATAAACAAATCCAATGTCAGTGCCAAAAGTTCCACCTTTTATTCTTTATAGAATTTCAGTGTGTTTGCACTACTTAAACTTTTTATACTACAAAATGTGGTAGAATAGTGCATAAGTATGCAATTTGGGATGCACCTATTATTTTTGTTCAGATTTAGAGGGCCACATCATCACGCTGAACCATGGATTTGCATTTGCTTTCAAGAACGACAGCAAAATAACCTGAAAACGCTCTGAAATCAGTGATGTGCTTCTCTATATTGATGCTAATTCAGTCTAATCTAGAAAATATGAAATGTGTGACATGTCCATCCGGCCACATTCATCCAGACAGCATTCCTGCGACTTTCCTAACACATTTAGGTGAATCATTATCTTATAGCCTATTTAGAAAAGCCTCATCTCAAAAAAAAAAAAAAAAAAAAGTACTATTTATAGTCCGGCGTAAGTTTTTCAAGCAAATAAACAAACTTGCATTCTCACTGAATGTATTTAGCATGTGAATTATGTCCAGAAAATGAGTCTTTGACATTTCAAAACAAGCACATAAGAGCAGAAATGGTAATGGGCTGCTTGGGCGCTAACAATTTGTCGATCAAATGAGTTACATCTCCACACATGTTCTGGATTAATCTAAAAAGCTGATGATTTGCACCGAATTCCACAGCCTTGACTGAAGAGCACTTGTAAGTGTTTGGAGACCTTAAACTGAGGCTCTGGTTGGAAACCACAGAGGAGCGTTTAAGCAAGACAGAATTCCCCTCAAGTCAGCGAAGGGCTGCCATAATTCTTCACCCAAACGAATGCTTCTACTTTACGAGAGTCATCAGCTCACAAAATACTCTTTCCGCTTTCATGATGCTGAACATGAAGAGAGCACATCAAAAATCCATCCATAAAATTTATACAGTCCTTCAGAATGGGCTTTAAACCCAACCAAGGTTAACTCTCCTGCCGATTTGCATTAGTTCCGCGTTTTTCCCTGAAATACAGGAAGTCTGTCAAAATAAATCGGCAAATTGTTGGAAGACAGAATTTGTGCTCAATGTCTGCATGCTTATTTTCTTACATTGTCTAGAAAAAACAAGCTGCTCTCCAGATCTCATGCTCTCCGTGTCCTGTTCCTCTGCAGGCGGTGGCCAAAACAATGTTGACAGACTGCCGCTGTCATGGCGTATCGGGTTCATGTGCGGTAAAGACGTGTTGGCGCACAATGGCTGCATTTGAGCGTGTGGGCGCCTACCTGAAGGATCGCTATGAAACCAGCGTTCATGTTGTGGACCGTTCCAAACGTAAGGTGCGACGCAAGGATAAAGAGCAACGCCATGTGCCTATCACCAAAGATGAGTTAATCTTCTTCAACAAATCGCCCAATTATTGCTTGGAGGACCGGCGGCTGGGCGTGACGGGGACCAGGGGCCGCAAGTGTAACAGAACTTCGGCCGGGCCCGACGGCTGCAACCTGCTGTGCTGCGGACGGGGATACAACACACATGTGGTGCGACATGTAGAGCGCTGCGAGTGTAAGTTCGTCTGGTGCTGTTATGTTCGCTGCAGACGCTGCGAGACAATGAATGACATGCACACCTGCAAGTAAAGCAGCGACTTCGGGCGAGGTTGAAGGATCTCGTGAGAGGAAATGGACCTTCTTTGTGTTGTCAGCCTATACAAACAAGCATGTTGATGAAATATCCAACCGGCAATACGTAGCTGAATCCAGAAAGAAATGGTATAATCCTTTTTTAAGTTCACATGCATAACTCTTCCCATGGGTTTCCATTGGGAGTCAAGCCATTTTGTATATAATGACTGTGGAATAAACTGGAGCATAAAGGGAATTCAAATACTGGGAATTGCAGAGGAAAAGTGTACATACTTTAGATAACTCTGTTTGGATTTTTTACTGAAGGCATGTTCGGATAAAGAGTTAGCTGACCTTAAAATGAAAAGTTTGTCAAAATTAGTCTTTCCAACTCACCTCTTCACTTTTTCCCAACCCAAATCTTCATTAAAAGTTCATTAAAAGTATGATCACTCAAACATTTCGTAAATAAAAACCATTATTCAATTCAGTCATTATTCAATTAAAGTTCCAAGCAGTTCCTATTATTCAATTAAAGTTCCAAGCAGCTTTACAAAAGGTGTTCATCATTAAATTACAGTCAAAATCAGAAAATATAAACCGCTTAAAGGTGAGTGACAGAATTTTCATTTGATGGCAAACTAACCCTACAACGATCAATTCTAGTGGGAATTGTGTTGATAATATGGCAAGATATTTTTGATATAATGTTTTATAGGTTCCAAATAAGAAATCATTGAATAAATAATACCCAAAGAATGCTTTCTGCAGTTTTGGCATTATATTTTCATGATTTATATGTACATATTCAATTCTGAACAATGGACATATGTGATTACGCCTTATTTCTGACTCTGAAAAAACAGAAAAAAGTTTTTCAGAGACATTCTTTTAAGGCGTAAATGCATATGCTGAAGAAACAAAAACAATTAAGCTTGGATATTAATTGTAGTGTCATTGATTTGAGATATATATGAAGAGTTCAGATGCAAAAACCTCTAAGTGCCATTTGAAAATTGCCTTCTAATATTAGCATTTTTTTGTGTGACTTGATTCAGTAATTTCACTTTTATGGCAAAGAAGAGAATATGTCTATCACTTTTAACATGAAATAACTCAACATAAACATAAAAATGCTCATTCTAGAAGCAAATTACAGATGGCACTTAGAGGTTTTGCATCTGAACTCTTCATATTTCAAATTACAAATCAAGGTTTCCACTTTGTATTTCTTGTGAGCGTTATGTGAGTCTCGTTTCCTCTTTAGCGCTAATCCCCCATGCACACAGACCTCTGAAAGCGTAATGCTTTGCTAGAAGTAACAGAGTTGTGCCAAATACCATGGCTGCATTCTCTTTAAAGACCCTTAAATGCTAATGCAAGTGGCTCTTTTATGCAGCCACATTCCAAGCAACAGGACGGTGACAATTTACAGCAGTGTTCGCAGAACATATCAGAGATCTTCTCTCGTGTGACAGACGAATAAAAAAAAAAAGTTCTGTGACTTCTTGCACATGCTAGCAAATCTATTAAATCGGTGGAAAATCTCACTCATGTTGGGTTTCGTGATTTTACTCAGAATGTCTGCTTGTTCATTCTCATGTGGTTGTATTTACCGCTGAGTGGATGTTGCATCAAGCTTTCTTAAAAACAGTTTTTTTTTCTGTCCAAGTGAAATCACTTTAGATTATTGTCTACATTGGCTCTCAATAAATAAGTCCCTTTTGGAAATATTTTCGTTATTTTAACCTAAAGTGTTTAACACCATTGCTATCTGTAAAATGTCTTCAGTCTTCTGTCCAGATTCTCTGATTTTCTTCTATTCAGATTCTTCTATTCAGAAGCCGACTTTCAGCACTGGAAACATGGTGTCAAGTCATCCTCGCGAGACAAACCAGGCGAATGGAATCCACGTGGACGCATCTGTTCTCTCAGACTTAGCCAAAAACTCAGGTGTCTGCCAACCTCCCACCTTCCTCAGTGCCTCCATTCTCTTTATGTTTTTTTAAAGGTTAAATCATACGTAAAATGACACGATTTGTCAAATTTAATCTGCTGTACTTCAATATTGCCTTTTCAGGTTTGGTTCCGCTATCCCTAATGAGCTGCAACTGTGTTTCTTGTGGTTTGGTAAGGAAAAAAAGCAACTCGACAACTGTTAAAACAAAGACAAATATTTCCGCAGATGAAATTCAATCGCATAATGAATGGAAGAATATATTTATACTTAACTGTGATCATTCCATTTTTTTACTCAGTTTGCTTAACCCAGGACGTTTTTTTGAAGCTGTTCCATGCAATGTTTTACATTTCTTTAATCAAAGCTAGATCTTTTTTCCTTCGACTACAATGTGTTCAATTTTTTAGTGTGTGCACCGTCGAGTCAAAACTGAATGCATCGCAGTGGGTGGTGCGACCACATGCACAATACACAACGTGAAGTTTCATAAATTTATTTCGAGTGGAGCACGTGATCTGATTGAGCACGACTGGCTGCTCATCTGTAATCAGTAATAATCCAATCAGAGTCATCATAGTTTACAATAAATCGTTTTCTCCCTACCGCTCTATCTAGGCTTTGGAAGAATCTCCCCTTCCACCCCATCTCCTCCTTTTTTCTCCCTTTTCCAATGGGGGGTCTTGAGACCTACCTTATCTCAGACCCCCTTATATGCTTATTGACCGGGCAGGAGCCTTGGGCTCAAGTATCTCCAAGCTCAGGGTTCTCTCCCGGGACAGCATGCCAAACCTGCTATAAATGCTCAGCATATCTAAGTGGGAATCCTTTGAATGAATATCATTCAGTATGGGGGCATGCAAGAGATTTGCAGATCTATCAAGACATTTGAGCTGCCCATTACAGAAGGACAGCGCTCCTTCTCATACTTTAGCCTCCACATCAAAGTTCCTGAAAGCAATGAAGGTCAAGGTGCTCCAGGATTGGCCAGCCCAGTCACCAGACATGAACATTATTGAGCATGTCTAGGGTAAAATGAAGGAGGCATTGACGATGAATCCAAAGAATCTTGATAAATTCTGGGAGTCCTGCAAGAACACTTTCTTTGCCGTTCCAGATGACTTTATTAATACTTTATTTGGCCTTTGCCTTTCATATAAGCATATATTGACATTAAATTATCAATTAGTAGTCAAGTTATTATTTGTTAACTCCCTTTTGAAAATATTTTCTCATGCTATTTTAACATAAGATGTTTCATACCATCATTATCTGTAAAATGTCTTCACTCTTTTGTCCAGATTTTTTTTTTTATCCAGATTTTACATTCTATACAGGAGCAGACTTTCAGCACTGGAAACATGGTGGAAGGAAATCTTTATTCTAAACTGTAATCAGTCAATTTTTTGACTCAGTTTGCTTAACCCGGGAGTTTTTGAGGCCCTTCTGTGCAATACTTTACATTCCTTTAATCAAAGCTAACAGATCTTTTTTTCTTTGCACTAAAATGTATTCAATTTTTCAGTGTGTGCGCTATCGAGTCAAGACTCTGAATGCATCGCAGTGGGTGGTTTGACCACATGCACAATATGCTTTGGATGTAAATTCAATCCATGCTGGCCTTTGCAGAACAGGGTCATCGCTCATCCTGATCATCGTTCGTCTTTTGTCTCAATGTGTGAATGATCAGTTATGTCCATCCAAGCGTAGCACTGCATCCGAAGCCAAGAGTCACGCTTATTTTTTTTTCCACTTGCCCATTCCTGCACGCTCTATGAGTGGTGCCATGCTATGTTCGCCTTCCCAGAAGTCTGTAGGGGCTCATGGCTGCGTCTGGTTGTGTTGGTTAAGGCCTGAGGCGTTTTGGATTGGCGGCACTGTTTTCCTGCCAATGACTGTTGCTTAAATGTCGACAATTCCCACAACAACTGCTGCAGAGTCAAAGTTAAGATTCTGCACACGTCCTGTAGTGCTCGCTCGGCTTTAATTCATTCTGTATGTTTGCTTTGATTCTTTTTTTTTTCTCTTATCACACCATACTGCTCTGGAATGATTGTTTAAAGTGATTTACCATACAAGTCTTTGTGATTGTATATGAAATGGGCGTTTTTTTCTCATGTATAGATCAGAGGAATTTGAACAGAATAAATCTGTTCATATACATAAAGGTGTCTGCCTCCATCTGGTGGAGTCACTGTGCCCTGCCAGACAGGACTACAAAGAGGAGACTCAAAACATTGTCATGTAATCATTACAAAAACACTGATGTTTTATTAAAATGAAGGTTACATTTTACAATAAGGTATTCTCTAAATGTTAGTTAATGTGTTTAATAGAATGAACAAGCAATGCACAATACATTTATTACAGCATTTGTTCATGTTAGTTAATAAAAATTCAATTGGTCATTGTTTGTTTTTTTTTGTACAAATTATTTCTTACTGTTATTTTAGTTTGCATATCACAACAGATTACACATTTACAATAATAATCATGTAGACACAACAAACATTATTCACACTATTCTCTCTCCCATCAACCCATTCCCTTGAAAAAGCTCAAATTAATCAAACAAGAACTAAAAACAAACAAACAAAACAGGAAAAAAAACAAGAAAAAAACTCAAACAAAAAAAAAAAAAAAAAAAAAAAGAAAAAAAAAACTCAAACAAAAAAAAATAAAACAAAAAAAATCAAGAACTAAAAAAAGCAAAAAAACAAAAGAAGAACAAACAAACAAAACAGGAAAAAACAAGAAAAAAAACTCAAACAAGTAAAACACACCCAAACAAAACAAGAAAAAAAAACTTTCCCCTACTTCCTTCTAACTTTCACATGGTACATTAGGAAGTCAATAAACGGTCTCCAGATATCTTCAAACACATTTTGTTTCTTTAGCACAATGTACGCGATCTCTTCCACTGACATATGTGACGCCATTTCTTTAATCCCTTTTTCAATTCTAAATTTTTCCATTTAAGAGCCATAATACATTTAGCTTGTGAAATATACATTGAATCTGACCTCTTTGCTTTGTAAGAGAGGACTGACATGATATATACCCATAAAAATCTTAGGATCCAATGGTAATTTCCTTAAGAAAATTCGGTCAATCATTTTAATAACACCTTGCCAAAAGTGTTTCACTTTCACACATTCCCATATACAGTGGCACAATGTTACCTCAATACACTTTATACAGGTATCTGGAACATTATCGTTTAACTTGTGCAATGTAGCAGGACTTATAGTGCATTAACTAATGCTAACAAACATGATTTTGGATTTTAATAAGGCATTATTAAATGTTGAACTATGATTTATAAATGAAGTATCGTTCATACTTAGTTCATGTTAGTAAATACATAATGAAACCTTTTTGTAAAGTGTGACCAAAAATAACATTGTTGTGAGAAAAAGTTAACCAAAATAATTTTTTTTAAAGTATATGGCGAAATATGTGTTTCTATTTTGTAAGATGGTTTAAATAAGCATCTAATATTCTTAGTTTTTGAATGTGTTTGTACTCTTGAACATCTTGATTAGTTGGATCAGGTGTGTTTAATTAGTGTTGGAGCGAAACACAGCTGAGTTTAAGACCTATGCCTTACAGGGTTAAACCCAGAACGGATTAGCTTTAAAACCTACATCATCAGATCATTGTGTGCTCAATTAAGTTTTCTGCTTTGCTAATCATATTATGTCTGTGCTGCTTGTGGTTCACACGTTTTATTGATATCATTGTGTGTTATGTTTTAGTAAGTTATGCTGTATCTTTCTACATACCATTATGTGCTTTCTCTTCATTCATGTTTTTCAGGGAATTGTGCTTTGTATGCTGATTAAAGAACAGACGGAAGCATGAAATCTCACCTAGGCTATATAACCGACAGGTTAACACAGTGTTCTATTATGTGCTGCTGTTGCTCAGGTATGTTTTGTCTGTGATATTTACACTACACAACACACACAGTTTGAGTGGATTAATGTGCCATTAACCTCAACAACCAATGCATTTAGCCACTAAATAATATTGCCATCTTACTCTATAAAAGTTCAATGGGTTCCATACAATTGATTTATGTTTGGAATTGAGTTCACTTATAATAGTTTTTACAAATTTAGGTGGATTGAGCATAAAGCAGTTAAGTTGTCTTCCTAAAAATGTCAAAAGCTTTTTTTTTTTAGTTTAACATGGCAAAAACATCACTTAACATCCAACATACACTATAGAAACACCTTCAAAATTATGACCCAAACAAGATTAAAAAGTCCAAAATTCTAAAATGTACCTTCAAAATGTCTCTGAGTACAAAAGACATGTGTAAATGTGCTTTCTAATCACCATCAAATGGTTTGTTTTTCAAAAAAAAAAATGTGTAGAAAAAAAACAACCTCTTAACATAATAAAAAAAAAAATGTGGATACATACACTGAAAAAAAGTTATTCAAAGATGATTCCTTGGATTTACTCATTTTTTTTTACATTAAGTGGTTGTAAACAATTTATTTGGGCTAAATTTAAACAAAGAAATTAAGTTGAACATTACTCAACTTAATTTGTTTATTTAAACTCAACACAAATAAATTGTTTGCAACAGTTCTGCATGCAACACTTTTTTCAGTGATACAAAAATGCAAATTTTGAATTTATTTGTTCTTGTGCTTGAAATAAAATTAGAACAACAATAAGATATATCCTTTTTTTAAAGGACACTGAACTGAAACAAACTAAACTAAACTGAACTTTCTAAGCTGTTTTGACACAATCTAGTCTGGTTTTATTCACTTCCAATAACGTTTAGCTATATATAAAACTGCTTGATGCTACAAACTTTATGTTCTTATACTTTATTAGTATTTTAATGCATTGAGCACACTGGTAATTGTAATACTTTGAACATTTATTGGCATGTTATTCCAAGTCAGTTATTAAAAAGTAAGTTCACAATCACAGAAAACAGCTTTCATCAACAACAACAACAACAAAAAAAGCTGAATAAAGAAACTTACTTTGCAAATCAAGTAGAAAATTACAAATCAGTCTAACGTTGATGCATGAATTATATTCATGAAAACCATTTCTCTGAAATACTACTTTAGCTGTCTAGCTTTATAATAAATTTGCCTTTGTAGGCCTACATTATTGCAATAAATATGTTTGGGTCTGTGGAAATGTGCTGTTGTTCCTCTACCGGATCAAAGCCAAATGCATAAATACGATGTTCAGGAATCAAATCAGAAAGCAATCCCTATCGTGAACAAACAATTCTTGTGGTTAGCAGGCCTGCGTTCACTTTCCATGTTATCATATTGCTGCACATTGTGTTTTTGTGCGGTCGGGGTGTCAATTGCAGTTAAAATGGGTAAATACATGTTTAATTTTTTACAGCTGTTTGGATAAGAACATTTAAAATGAGCATTTAATTAGATGTTGCCTGGTAGATTAGACAAGTAGGTGCTCATGGTCATTTTAATTAGTTTTCATAAGCGGTTGTAAAAAGGCAGCCAAAATATGTGTGTAAGTCTTAAAACAAGACACTGTATGCACTCTCATGATTATAAAACACTAACCAGACCATGGGCAAATATATGCACACACACATGCGGTCTGGAAGGAATTTCTTAGTAAGTTGTGGAACTATGAAAGGAAATTCATGATGCAGCAGACATGCAGGAAATGTGTGTGTGTGTGTTAGGGTATCTTCACCTGACCACTTGGCTTATTTATGAGTGAGGACATCCTGTGATTCTTCTGCCTTCAGCTCTATTTGTTTAGAACACACACACACACAACAGTTTTCAATGCTCCTGGAAATCGACCAGCTTCTTCCCATCTGTCTTGATGGTCACTTACAATCAAAATAAGTCAGCGAAATCTTTTCTTTATAGTAAATCGTAAATGACGACACAGTGGCTAGCATAGTCACCTCACAGCAAGAAGGTCACTGATTCGAGTCCCAGCTGGACCAGTTGGCATTTCTGGGCGTAGCTTGCATGTTCTCCCCTTGTTGGCATGGGTTTCCTTTGGGTGCTCCGGATTCCCCCACAGTCCAAAGATATGTTCTATAGGTGATTTGAATAAACTAAATTGGCTAGATTTTAAACGAGATTTAAATCTTCTTGAGAAATTATATTGCCCCCCCCCCCCCCCCCCCCAAAAAAAAAAAGCAAAACCTATCATCTGTTTCTTATATTTTACAAATTTTAAATAATAAATAACAGCTTTTGCTTTTTACAGTGTAGTAACATGGTGGGTACAAGCTAATACAAATGATGACACATCTGATGTCCTAAAAACAAGATTTTTAGATGTTTGTTTGAACATATTGTAAGCAGTTATTTTTCTGATGCTCCCACACTCTCAGAAAAAAGGTCACTGGAGTACCTTTTCAAAAGCTACAAATTTTAATGCCTCAAGTGTACATATTAGTACCTAAAAAGTACAAAAGTGTTCCACTTAAAATGTTTAGGTATTAATACATAGTTTTGAGGTACCAATTATGTACCTTTCATGTCCAAACATGTACCTCTTGAAAAGGTGCCACCCCAGTGACAGCTCGCGTACCTTTATTTCTGAGAGTGCAGGGATAGAGTTCCACTCCTGTGCTGCTGTAATTGAAAAGGCACCCTGACCAAAGGAACTTTTCCACAGTGGACAATACAGTCTCCTCTGGCTGCCCCTCGTGTTGCTTTCATTAAAACAAGAAAAGGAAAAAATATAATAAAGCAGTGTTTCTCAACCATGTTCCTGGAGGACCACCAGCTCTGCATATTTCCCATGTCTCTTTAACCAAACACACCTGATTCAGATCATCAGCTCATTAGCAGTGACTGAAAGAATATGCAGTTGAAAGCATGCAGTGTTGGTGGTCCTTTATGAACATGGTTGAGAAACACAGCAATAACTATTCCAAAAGTAATTATATTATTATATATTATTAATAAGGGAAAATGTATCATAAAATAAAACATTTATATCCTAAGCAATACTATTTATGTGCACCTTGTTGTCTCAGATCATTCTAATCACATAGTCAATGGGTTTCTTCTTTTTTACAGCTTATTGAAAGCCTATTTATGTGTAATGTGAAACAGATTTATGGATGCGCCTGGCATTTTAGAGGAAGGTGTCGCTCTCTGACTCTCGTGATGTTTTTATACAGGAAAGAGAGAGAGAGGGGGATTGTTGAAAAGGCAGAAGGCCAACTTGTGTGGCCACAGTCTGGTGAAGGACCTCAGAGAGCCAGAAAGAAGAAACTGAAAGTGTAATCATCATGCCGTTCCTTCTAGACGTCGTCTGTGGAGGTTTGATTCTGCTGCTGGGAACTGAGATCCTCTGGGTGGCTGGTGCACAGGTGATATGCACACATATTTATGTAACGTGAATGTTTATTTGTGACTTTATATTACTTTTAGAGCAAGGTAAGACATTGTTTGTTAAATATATGTGCACTTGGGAGGTTTGTACTAATTAGAAATTTAATATGTCTTAGTCAAAAGCTTGCTATGTTATTGTTTTGTCCTGTTTACATTTATATAATAGTGTAGAAGCTGGCACAGATGAACATAAACATCCAGTTTGATTTAATATCAATCTTCACTTCCCTACAGGGATATTTTAGCTACAAATGTTTACATTTTAGAGATTGCCATTAAAAAAATGTAGTACATGTGGCACTTTAAGAGTTACTCACTCAGAAATTCCCTGATTTGACATGTATTGTTTAACATGCACTCGGGAATGCTGGGTAAAATAATCCCTAAAATGTCATTGGCCAGGCGCAAAGTCATGAACGAATCAGGTTAATCTCCTCGGAAAATCAGCGACAGGTGTCAAGATTCAATGTGATTTTTCCTACTTTTCTAGTTTTGGGATATGCAGTGTGAAAGAGAGCACATTTGTTTGCATTTTGTTGTTGTTGTGATTATTAATATCCCTTGTACATATGTGTGTGATTGTGTCTGTTTTCAGAAGCGCTGTGATAAGGATATCACGATGGTAACTAAATCCAAGTGTCATTCCTGCTCCTTATCACATTTAGCGAAGTGTCCCAATGGATACGCTAAGATGCCACCAGGCACAAGCGATAGGGACTGCAGGTACATATTCGTGTTTGTGTGTGTGTGCATGGTTTTGTTTGCTTTACGAGAACCAGAGGTGTCTACTTAGACTGTAAAATCTCTAATCAGTGATGAAGATTACAGAATGTCATTAGCTATGCTTCCATGCATTTATTTTTTTCATGCACATGTTGGATAGAAAAAAATATGATGTGCATAAAATCCGAAAATGGGCTTTAAAATGTTTTCAAATAGGGTGGGTCATTTTTGGTAAGAGTTTACTCACAGTCTTCGTATACAAATAATAAAACTCAATGGAAGAAGACACCCTTGCTATATGCTTGTACTGTACAGTGCTTAAAAATCATCATACCCTGTGAAAATACATACCTTCACTCACATTCCCCCCTGCTTTCATAACACCTACAGGATAAAGCTAGAGAAAGGCACAGAAGGTTGCAAAGTTATTCGGAATATGAATTGGTTTCATGCTGGATGACAAATTAAGTAATTATTTCAAAGGGGTGTGATGATTTTCTATATGCACTTTTTTATATAAACAAAAAACACACAGAGTCAGTAATTGAATCTCTCTATGTGTGTTTAGGTATTATGTCACACCTGCTTTTTCTATCTCGGGCTGTTCGTTTAATTGCTTCAAAGAAGTGGTGGAGCCCCAGTGCTGTCGAGGTTATTGGGGCAATGACTGCATGGGTAAGTTTAAGGTCTTTGAAGCAGAATTTCTGGGTTAGAATCCATTTCAAGTGTTCCATAGAAAACGTTTGACATCTGAAACCAGTTGGACATGGTCCACAAGTGACAAATTTGGCACATTTCATTTGGTGGTATTTCCGTCATTCAGTGGGGGGAAGATGCGCTGAGGGAATATTTTGATGGGAAGAGATGGACAGGAACTGTTCTGATGCCACCGCTAACAAATCTGAAACGCAAACAGGAAGGGAACTTCCCCTCTTGGGGAACAAAGTGTGAAAATATTATTATTATTATTGTTATTTCTGCACAAAAAAAAAAAATGCAGGGTTCCACACAATTCATTCATGTTGTCCCAACACAAATTGATTAGACAAAGTTATCCTAAGAAATTTAAGTGGATTGAACATGAAACAAGTAAGTTGTCCCTAAAAAATATTAATTGTGTTGTTTTAGCAAACTTTAAATAAGTAGTTTGAACAAGCAGCAAAATAATTGTTTGGAGTGTACACAGTAAAAAATGCTGGGTTTTACACAATCGATTTGTGTTGGCACAACATGAAGAAATTAAGTTAACTTATCAGTTTTTGAAAATTTAAGTGGATTGAATATAAAACAATCAAGTTATCCCAAAAGTTTTTATTGTTTCAGCTCATTTTATTGAAGTAGTTTGAACAAGCATCAAAATCATTTTGATCGAGTGTATACTGTAATAAATGATGGCTTCCACACAATTCCCTCATGTTATCTCAACACAAAACGATTAAGTTAATTTAATTATTTTTACAAATTAAAGTTTATTGAACTTAAAACAATTAAAGAGTTCACACTTAGCTGATAATCAATAAAGTGTATTTGGCATGCTGTCCCGGGAGAGAGCCCTGAGCTTGTAATATCCTCGAACCTGGGGCTCCCTCCCGTTAGAAGGGCGAGAGGGGAGTACAAACTCAGGTAGATCTCGAGAACTCCCCTGCATGTCACTGTGAGAAGTGTAAACTAAGGTTGTATGGGGTGATAATTTGGTTTAGTCGATTAGCTGTGGTTTCTGTTTTTGGACGGTGGGAGGAAACCGGGGAACCCGAGGGAAACCCACGCGAACACGGGGAGAACATGTACACTCCACACAGAAACATCAACCAGCCCGATAAGTTTGACCAGCGTGTTCTTGCTGTGAGGCAACAGTGCTGGCCACTAGGCCACCGTGTCACCCTATCGGAAAAGGGGGAGGAAGTAGGGGTGGAAGGGGGGCGGAGCTTCAAGACAAAGATAACTGGAGTGAAAAACTCAGATTATTTATAATGCTTCCGTAATCATCTAATTGGGCAGATTATGGAGCTAAAAAGGAGCCAGCCGTTTTCATCATAAGCAAGTGATCCTCTCGAAAGTAGTTTATGAATAAACCACACTTAAGTTTTCCCAAAAAAATCAAGAATTGGGTTGTTTCAACTCATAAATAAGTAGTTTGAACAAGCGTCAAAATATATATTTTTTGAATGTAGTAAAGGAATACTAATAGAATGTCTGTTACGATTCATCGTAATTCTGTCAACCCCAAGAGACTATTAAAAGCGGCCATCGTCCAAAAATAACTACAAATCCTGCTGGATAAACTGAACTTCCAGAAGAAGTAAACTGGGAAGTAGGATTTTAGTTTATCCAGCAGGATCGTGAAGAATTTCTCATTTGATCCAAACAAGAGGATCGCTTCCAAATTATGAGAGGAATTTTATTAGCGTTCTTTTAGGAATGTTTGACTAAATCGTATGCATGAATGCGAACATACACTTCATCCCTTTTCCCGTTTTTAACTTTTCATGTGATCATGAGACCATGACGGTGTTGTTTCTCATGGTAGTTGGGAGCGAGATATCCAGTATATGAACTGATATAGTATTATTGATACAGTATAGTATGATGTAAAAATTATGAAGGAACTTTTGATACTTTGTGGAACAAGAGGATTGTGTGTTTCCTTCCCTCTGATAGAGATATGGCAGGTTTGTGCTGCAGGAATGTGCAGATCCACAGCCTCATTTCCAGTATTTCCTCAGTCTGTCAGCGCTCAAACTGATCCCGCTCTGAGTTTGCTGAGCCAAGCACTTAAAGGGCCATGAAACCCCCTCGTTTCAGCAGGGTGTTTTCACACCTCCACTTTGGAAAAAGTCAGAAAAGTGGGGGTGTCCAGCTCTGTTTAGGGGGGAGTGTCGGAGGAACTAAAGTGGGAGGGTGTGGGAGTGTCTATTTGGGTACGCGCGAGTTTCAGTCAAAATACACACACAGGAGAAAGAGATGGTGTTTAACCTACATGGACATCTGTAGTGGAATTATTTGCCAAATTATTAACTGGTGGACTTTAACTGCAGTTTGGCTCTTTCATTCAGGGAATTCATTCATGTCCCTCGCGACAAACGCGATATTTGATTCGAGGATCTGCTCTAAGCGTGTATTTTTCATGCAATGTTTGATACCGCACGGCGAATGACAGAAAAAAAACTCCGCATTTCCCGGAAACTTAGACGCACACGGCAGGTAACGTCAGAAAGCCGCGTGTGTTATTCCGGTCACAAAATGCGGTGCTAACATGTTTGCCCTCAGTGCAATAGTTAACTTAATTCGATACGAACAAACTGAATAAACAAAGAGCACTGGTCGCTCACTTACCAAATCTGTAGAGACAGGTCAATCACCAGCAACTAGAGCCGCGTCTGAAGAGAAGACTACATCCGGAATCCGGATCTCAGCGTTTGCAGATGAGAACAGCTCTCAGGTAAACAATAATCCCCCTTAGACACGCAAGTTATTGTTGTCGCGCGTCGCGTACACTGTTAATCCACACGTGAGTCTGAGCTCTCACAGAGAGAAAATGAAAACGAAACTTAACTGCAGCAAAATTTAAAAGCAACACTTCACGCTTGTTTTGCCAACACAACGTGGCGTCTCTGTGGTGTAAAGACGGTGACACTAATGAATATTAATGAAGTTGCACAATAGAGCGCGCTGATTGGTTTGAACCAAGGCTTACTCATGCATTAATGCATCACACTGTAAGACGTAATAAGGCACACTCTGGCACAGACGCCCAGTCTGCACGCTGGAATACAACGCTATTATGTCATGATCGTGACGCAGCTTCAAAAATTCGTTTCAAACAGGAAGTACGAATTTGCTTGAAATAACGCAAAAACAACCAATTTACACTTTTTAGTGAAATATAGGTGTCCTAATAGTGTTTTTAGCAGTGTGGGACACATATACGACTGTCAAAAGCTCAAAAAATGTGTTTTGGTGTTTCGTGACCCTTTAAGTTACCGAAAGTTGTCTTGCTTTCTTTTGGTCTTTTATCAGCAGAGCTTCCTGCATTGTTCTTCAGGAGTTAAATGATTTGACCTTTGTGTCTGTGAAATGGGTCAGCATTGTGGAAGCTTAGTGAAGCATTATGAAAGGAAATGCTTTTTCCCGTTATACCCGATGTCATGTTTGACAGGCAGATTTATAGTCACATTGTTAAAACATTTACACATAATTCAGTGTAAATACTTAGGTTTGTTTGCTGCTTTAAATGTCGAGGTATAATCAAGTCGCAAAATGTTGATTAGCTTATTATTTAACAGTTCTATAAATCAACCCATAATTCCACAAAAATTATTTACAATATGACAAATAGATATATTTGCAAATATAATCAGCAATATTTCTACAGAATTTATAAACCCTCCTATCGTGCTCATCTCCCACCCCTTACTTTAGTGTTCCCAGGCAAAGTTGACCAGTCTCTTTTAACTGCTCTTTTTTTAAGTGAAGTTTATTCATAAATTAATATCGAGAGGATCACGTGCTTATGATTGACACGGCTGGCCCCGAGTCAAGCTAATGTACGAACCACCAATCAGGCTATTCCTAACCCAGTATAAATAACCAAACATCTTACCTTTAGTCATCTTTGTCTTGAAGAATCCCCCCTTCCACCCCTTCTCCTCCTATTTTCTACAGGGCCCAGTGGCTAGCACTGCGGCCTCACAGCAAAAAATGCCTCCGACTCGGGTATCCACCCAACCGGACAGCATTTTCGTGTGGAGTTCATGTTCTCCCCGTGCTTGCGTGGGTTTCCCCGGGTCCTCCGGTTTCCTCCCACACTCCCAAAAACATGAGACTTAAGTAAATTGACTAAACCAAATTAGCACCAAATTCAATTCTGTCAGTAACACATCACCTTAGCAATCCTTACGCAGCAGGAGGGGGGGGGGGGGGTTCTTGAGATCTACCCGAGTTCAAACTCCCCTTGGCTAGAGGATCTTTTGAGTTCGGGGCTCTCTTCCGGGACAGCATGTCAAATTAGCTTATTACCAATCATCAGCTAAGTGTAAACTCTTAAAAGCCTTTTTCACCACCAAAATTTTATTAAACATTCTATAGCTGTGAACAATGTCTCAAACTAGTGATTAATATGAATTCATAGAATTAGACATAAAACAACTGCAGTAAAACACAAATAGGCACTGCTAATGTATTTCAAAATGAACATGTAATGTCATGGAGGTAATCGGTATCACTTTATTTTGAAGGTCCCTATTGTACATTTTGTTGACGATAAATAACATTGCAACTACATGACAACTAATTCTCATTTGAGTATTAGTAGACTGTCTGCTTAATGTCGGCAGATACTGCTCCATCAACAGACATTTAACTGACTATAAGAAAGAAGTAAACATAAACTTACACTATCATAACCTAACAGTCTAGTAATACTGAAATGAGAATTAGCTGGCAATTGGTTGCAATGTAACACAACAAAAAGTGCTAAAGGAACCATCAAAATAAAGTGGTACCAGGTAATCACAGAGGGATCAGCACATAAGCACGGGAAAGAGATGTGTACCCACAACAGACATTGTTCAGTCTGAAATGTGTGTGAGTGAGTTGGGGTGGTGAGTATGCGTATGTTTTCTGCTTGATGGTTGAATGTGGTCTGAATAGTCGTTATATTTATTTCCTATAACAGTCACTTTTAACCGGGAACACCACAAGTGTAACATGGTTGATTAAAACACCCAAAATTCAATGAAAGAGGGGATCATCACTTTTATATGTTCAAGTGCATAGAGTGAAGGATATCATGAGACCTTGAGGCAGTCAGATGTAAAATACAATGTTTTAAGCTGTAAACCAGTCAGATTTAACCAAAACTAGACAGAAAGGTAAATATTAGACAATGGTTGGAATTAACTATGATTTTTAAATTAATAGATGTATTTCTTTACATTATTTTACTGTGAACTAGCGTGAAAAAGGTTTGATTGTGTTTATTAAATTTCTTTAGGGTAACTGGTTGTAAACGATTTATAGGGGCTGAATTTAAACAAGTACTTATACTGGTGTTCAGATGGTGAAATAATATAAGCAGTACCAAATGTAATAGATATTTAAACATTTAGCGTATGTGACTGGAACAAAAACAACCCGTTTATAACAAATTTATAAAAACTAAATGAAAAATGATTTATGTAAAATAATAATGTGAATCTTAGGGTCCGTGTGCTGTCTGTTTATGCCGTTTGTCTGCTATTACTTTAAGAGTAACCTGTGAATGTGTATCACACATACACCCAAACAGTCCATCTCTGACAATTAGCTTGTGTTGCACTTACTGTTTGTACTGTTTGTAACATTCTTGCCAGATTTTGATTAACCGCTTAACCTCTGATTGGGTCAGCCCCTCTCGAAACCAGCCAGCCGTCGCCGATTAGGCCAAATGCTTAACATTTACTATTATTATTACTATTATAATCATCAGCATAATATTCACATCTTGCAGAAGATAAAAGCTGCCTGCATGTAAAAACAATACATATAAATAAATAAATAAATAAATAAATAAATAAATAAATAAATAAATAAACAAACAAACAAACAAACAAAAAAACAAACAAACTGACCGGCCCACATTAAAAAAATGGTTCAGCCCTTTTGGCATTTGCCAGAAATGCCAGATGGCCAATCCGCCCCTGTTTGCAACCATTTACTCTAAAACATGTAGTCATAAGTCAAATTAATTTTTTTTTTACAGCATGATAAGAATTTAATGCATCTTAGTTCCACTGTTTGTGTATTTGTTTTCATTACTATTTAATTATACATGCAACTAATCCTAAACCAAACTCTAATCCTTTTAGTTGACATTACATTATATGGACACCTTAAAATAGCATAATTCAAACTCATAACAGCAGTAACGTTAACAAAGGCGATGTTTTTATAAAGTGTTTGCAGTTTTTCTTCACAGTCAGTGCAGAAAATGTGAAGAATGTGCAGAAAGCGGCTCTGCTCATGAGTAAGAGTCTGCACATGCTGCGAGTGTGGTTTTTATTTGAGGTGTCACGTCTGTGCCTGATGTGTCTGGTTTGACAAGATGGGTTTGGTTTTGATGAAGGGTTTTTTGTCAGGACTATCAGAGCGACAATGGAGGGAAGGAAAAGAAGAGTTGAGGGTCAGTGGAGCAGACGAGGGGCTGTTTGAAGAACAAAGGAGCTCTGCTAACTCATATCCTCTCACTAAGACCCCTAGCATCGCAAATACTTAAAAAATACACACTGTTCACTGACAATAAAGCTCAAAACTAAGTATTTTTTTGGTTTACCTTAAAAATTGTTTAGAGTATTTATTTATGCATTTAGTTTCATTTTTGTTTCTGATAAGATATTAACGTAAAATAAACATGTCTCTGCTAATTTAAGTTAGTTAGTTAACTAGAATTAACACAGCTCAGTAAATGCAGGTGTTCTCATAGTTAAGGCTGTCTAATGCATTGATGCATGTTGCTTATGATGTGCATTAGAAAAGGCTTCTTTCTTCTTCTTCTTCTTCTTCTTCTTCTTCTTCTTCTCCTTATTATTATTATTATTATTATTATTTATAATTAAATATGTTACTAATTTTATACTACTATTACTACTACTGCTACTACAACTACTAATAATAATAATAAAAGTAATAATAATAGTGATAATAATAATAACAATAATATTAATAACAACAACAATATTATTATTATTATTATTATTAATAATAATAATAATAATAACAATAATAATAATAATAATAATAATAATAATAATAATAACAATGATAATTATGATAATAATAATGAAAATAATAATAATAATGATAATAATAATAATAATAATAACAACAACAACAATAATAATAAAGATGATGATGATGATGATATTATTATTATTATTATTATTATTATGAAAAAATTCAGTATCATAGGGGGATTTCTTTGCAATTTTTTGTTAGATTTTTTTTATTTTATTTTTAAAACATTTTCATACCCATGACTTTGCCTTTACTCTTTTAACAGAGTGTCCAGGATCAGCATCGACGCCATGCAGCAATAATGGAGTCTGCTCTGATGGTATAGCAGGCAATGGGACTTGCACTTGCGCAGTGAGCTTGCTTTCCTTGTTTTGCTCTGTCTGAATCAAGCACATTGCTGTCAATCAAACTTTTGGAGGTGTTCATTTATTTTATTTTATTTTTTGCAGTCTGGTTTTACAGGAGCAGCTTGCGAGGAATGCAAAACAGACTTATATGGACCCACTTGCAGTAATGGTAGAGAAAACCTTCCAAATTAATTGGTTTGGGATACTTTTGTGTTTGTATTCAGTCTATTGAATTTCTTGTGCTGGTTAGTGTGTCGTTGCAAGAATGGACTGTGTAGCAGCGGTTTGAAAGGAACAGGAGAGTGCACATGTTTTTCTGGGTACACCGGCTTAGACTGCGCCCAAGGTAAACCCTTGAACTCTTAAATTTCTATTTGAGTGGGACATTGCAATTTAAAGCAGCATTTGAGTGAGTGTTTTTTTTCTTCTCAGAGCTCCCTGCATGTGCTGCTTTGCAGTGTGGGCCGGATTCTCGTTGTATCGAGGAAATGTTGACAGGGCAGCTTGTGTGCAAGTGCAAACCTGGTTATCAAGGGGATGGAGTACAGTGTACATGTGAGTATATACTAAAATTACATATTATATTTTTAGTAATGTTTAACTTCATTTGTTTGTTTAAATTCAGCCCATATAAATTGTTTGCAACCAGATAGCTTAGTTTTTTTTTTTAGCAAATCCAATGAATCATTTTTTTTTTCAGTGTGTGATAACAATTTAATGTGTCTTAATGTGTCAGTTATATGACATTATAACAATAATTGGTTATTGTCTTAAAAAACACTTAAAATGGGTCATTGATTTAAACATAATATGAGTTCAAATGCAAGATTTTTAAATATATATTTATAAAAGCATATTAGAAGCTATAGAAGAGCGTATTAATTAGTGTTTCAAGGAACCTACTGATGAACATTTGTTGTTAGCATATTAACAAAACATTTTTATTGACATTTACTTATATGCAGTTCAGTGATCATACTTAATTGTAATCCATAATTGAAATTTACGTTTGATCTCAATCTAAAATTTCTCATATCCAAAAACAGCATTTTCCAGACAAGCAGAAGATTTAGTCTTGTTTTAAGAAATAATATGCCTAATTTAAGTAAGTTTTTCCTTAAAACAAGCAAAATAATCATGTCCTTTTTCCTTATATGTGATTAAAATAGTGATCATACCTAATTGTATTGCTTGAATAAATTTAACAATATATTAATAATTTTATTTACAAAGTATTCAAAAAGATATTATATAGTCAAAGTCTGAATTAACAGCCTTTTTTTGTAAATATTTTTTCCCTATTTCTGTTCAAAGAAGTTATTTTTTCAACATATTTCTAAACATAATAGTTTTAAAAAGGAAAGCTTATTTATGAACTAATTTCGAGAGGGTCACATGCTGATGATTGACCATGTCTGGTGCCACATTAGCTATTTGATGATCTACCAATCAGATAAATCCAAAACACACAGAAATAACTGGATTTCTTTACCTTAGTCATCTTCATCTTAAAGAACCCCCATCCACCCCGACTCTTCCCCCTCTTTCCTTTAAAAAGATATTATATATTCAGTTAGAATCAGAATTATTAGCAATTGAATTTATTTTGTAAATATTTTTCTATAATTTCTGTTTAACAGTGTTTTTTTTTCAACATATTTCTAAACATAATAGCTTTACTAACTAATAACTGATTTCTGATATCTTTGCCAATGACAGTCCATAATATTTTACTAAATATTTATTTAAAAAGATGCTGGTATTCAGCTAAAAGTGCAATTTAAAGGTTAATAGGTTAATTAGGTTAGATAGGCAAGTTAGGGCAATTAGGCAAGTCATTTTGTCATTTTGCAAGTGGTTTGTCTGTAGGCTTCACTGCAAAAAAAGGCTTTTCTTACTTGGATTTATTTTTTGTCTTGTTTCGAAAATCTAAAACATTTTAAATAAAAAAAACATTTTCCTGACAAGCAAAAAATATTGTCTTGTTTTAAGAAATGAGTCAAAATTAAGTGAGTTTTCACATTAAACAAGCAAAATAACCTGCCAATGAGGTAAGAAAAATAATCTTGTCAAAACTAAAAAAAAAAAAAAGGGTTATTTTTCTTACACCATTGGCAGTAAAACTCACTTAATTTTGACATGCTATTTCTTAAAACAAGACAATATATTTTGCTTGTCTAGAAAATGCTTCTTGACTTAAGTATTTTTAGATATTTGGACTAGAAACAAGACAAAAAAATCCAAGAAAGCCTTTTTTGCAGTGTGATCATTTTTTTAAAGATTTTATTATCAATACATATACAAATAAGCTGATTTTAAGCATCAAAACAAATGTAACACAGCTTTAAATGTAGTTTGTTATGACCTTTTTGAACTCACAAATGCTCTTTTCTATATGTCACATTGATTATGCAGCAATCAACCCGTGCTTGAGGAGTGTGTGCCATGCGAATGCAGTGTGTGCGCATACGGGACCGAACAAGCATGTCTGCACATGTACAGAAGGCTATAGTGGCGACGGTCGAGTCTGCATGCCCATTGACCCATGCCAGACTAATCTAGGCAACTGCACATCTGGCTCTACCCGCTGTGTGTATGACGGTCCCGGAAAAGTGTGTTTGCATTCATAACTTCACTTATTAAATGCTTGAATGTTTCACTTTATTTACAGTTTGCTGTTTTCCACAGGCTCACTGTGAGTGTTTGAAGGGATTCGAGAAGTTTGTTGAAGGGCAGGGCTGCAATATTATAGATCTGTGCAAACCAGACTCCTGCCATAAATACGCCACCTGTGCCACAGCTGAACCAGGAACAGTGGAGTAGGTGACGGATTTCATTTGATTGATTTTATTTATGCCCTTCTTCATATATTTAGAACCTAAATACACTTTCAATTGTAATAATTTCAGATGTAACTGTCGCGAAGGTTTCATTGGGAATGGAAAAATATGCTTTGGGGACATCATTCAACAGCTGAATGAAATGAATTCGAAGCCAGGAGGAAAATGGACGGGTCAGCTCTCCAGTGCCATCACACTGTTCAGTGAGTGACACGCTAAAAATACATTCCATAGTGTTTATTTTTCATCAGACACATTTAATGAAATGGTTGTTAATTTGAAGTCACCATGATGGAGGTCAGCATCTGCTTTAGTTGGGCTCTTCAACTTTTTATTTTAACACTAGCTTTTAGTTTGGTTGCTATAGTTTATTGTGTTGATCACATTTTTTATATAGCATGAAAACCCAAATGTAAATATATATGTAATAAGTTCAATTCACTCACAAACTATAAAAAGTCACACAAACTCAAATTATTTGAGTTAGTAGAACTGTTTTAGAAAATTGAGTTCAATCTAGCAAAAAATACATACTACTTAAAAAAACAAAGGGGATGCCTTTCAAAAAATATGGATGCCTCTAATGATCCTCTGACTCTATGAACACATCGGATGTATTTTCACAATATGTGTGACCTTAACCACGGCATAACTTTGTGTAATTTATTATTTTTTTTTTTTTGTATTTTGTTTGTATGTTTATTTATTTATTTCTTTATTATTATTATTATTATTTTTAAATGTATTTACATTTTTTTCTCTTTGCCTTTTGCTGCTATACTTGTCTACTAATACATTTGTCTTTGCCCTTGTTTTGTTTACGTTTATATGTTCATTAAAATCAATAAACAAAGAATTTAAAAAAAAAAAAAGAAAATTGAGTTCATACAACTCAATCAATTTAATTATTTTGAACATTAGGGTTTACAGCGAACCAATCCCACTGGAGGGAGGGTTATTGTTGTTTGTTTCAGAAATTAAGATTAGGCTGAAGTATGGTGGCTGAGAGAGCTCAAACATGTTGCAAACACATGCAAATACAAAAATGCTAACAAATGGAGACACCATTTTCATCATGATGATTTATAACAAGCTTGCATGCAAATCTCACAACACACACAAGTAGAGAAATAGAGCAGATCACATCAGTCAGGACACCCTAAAAATGTAATGACCCCGGCTGCTTCCTGTTTAGAGGCAGCTGAGTTGTCAGAAATCGGAGAAGTGTTTTTTTTTAACATCCTGGATTTACGGTTTCTTGCTGTTTGCGTATTTTTAGCCCAAATAATCTGACAAACTGCACAATTAACATTAAATCAAGGATTATTTTAATGCCATCTTAGCAAGAGTTTTCTCAGAATGTAAATGTTTTTCCACAAGTTTTCCAAAATTAGGTGATTTTTTTTTTCTTAAAACAACCAAACAGTCATGTTTTAGCCCATTGGCAGACTGTTGTTTTAAGGGAAAATTCTTTTGTCATATTATTTATTAAAACAATATGTTTAGCTTGTCTGCAAAATGCTTCGATTTAAGAGTTTTTATATATTTAGACAAGACAAAAATCTAAGGAAGAAAAGCATTTTTTGCAGTGTACAAACAACAAGAGACTGTATGATTAGATTTTAAACACTGACTCTAAACGAGAAGCAGGGGTTTCTGTGTTTGCATGCTTCGTGAGAATGCATGCGCATGTGTTGTCAAACCGATGACGATAATTGTCTCAGTTTGCTGGTGTTTTTGATTTTAAATTTGTTTATTTTTTTACATGCACTTCTTTCAGTCACCATACTGAAGCCTTCACAATACAGAGAATAAATTATTATTATTTTTTCCTTATGTTAAAGGTAGGATAAATATAAAAACGACACAATGTAGTGCTCATTTTATTATTTCTGCTGTTTCAGATCAAGTCACAGGATGGTTCTTAACCGCTCGTGGACCATTTACCGTGTTTGTCCCAGTGAACAAGGCTTTTAAGGGCACGTCTGTAAGTTAAGCAGTCATGATTTTGCCAAGTATGATGCGATCCTAGATTAACATCTGTGTTGATCCTGAAACATCTTTTTTCTTCTTTTTTTTTTTATGTAATCCATACCTATTCCCCAAGCATAGCTGTAAATTATTCCCAAAATCAGAGGGAATCAATAGCTGGATAACAATCATGTAGAAGTGCATAAACCTAACCGTAAGCCTAAACTTAACAGAAACATAAACATACCCCTTAATTCTGATTGGCTGATTGGAATGTTATTTCGGGATCAACATAGATCTAGCAACATGGTGAAATCAGGTTGGCGTAAGCAGCACACACATTCAGTAACTATGATTTGTTGATCATATCTACCTTATTTTGCCATCCTGAAGTACTTCGCAGATCTTTTACATTTACAAAAACAGCTATGTTACACACTACAAGAAAATAATACGGATACATTTAACAGCATGCTTTTGCTCCAGGTGAAATCCCTGCTGGCTGACGAGATGAAAGCTCGCTATCTTGCTAAGCTACACGTGGTTGCTGGAGAGGTGAACTCTGAGTCTCTGAAGAAGGGAATCCTCTTCCATACGCTCACCGGCATGGGTGCAGAATCAATGATAGATGTAGGTAACTGAATGCAGGTTGTGTGTGTGTCTTCCAGTTGTTTTCAATGATGTGCAAATGCAGGAATCTTCACATCCTGTTTCTTTACTACTCGGACTCTTTCCTGTTCAGATCTTGTGTGCTTTGCTACGTGTGACGCCAGAGAATCATTGAATGTAAATCTGACAAATGTTTCTTTTAAAGGCAGAGCAGGTGAAGATACGTCTTCATGGAAGCCGTAAGAAAGGAGCGCTCGTGGAGTCTGACGTCTTTGCCTCAAATGGAATGATTCATTTGATCGACAAGCTGATGGATGCAGTTCCTTCCACTGTGATCAGCGAGAAAGAGGTGTGTGAAAATAGGTGTGTTGTCTTCATCGAATGCTGTTCTTGTTTATTCGAAAGAGCCAACAGTGTTCCTTTATCTCTTACTTTCAGGAAAGCTTGCTGGAGATTCTCTCTAAAAATGGAAAGTTCTCTCAGTTCAAGTCTCTGCTTGAGGTGAGATTTAAGTGAAGTTTATTTATAAACTGATTTCGAGAGGATCACATGCTAATCATTGGCCACGGCTGGTCCCACGTTAGCTATCTTATGATCTACCAATCAGATGAATCCAAAACACACATAAATAACTGGATTTCTTTATCTTAGTTATCTTTGTCTTGAAGAATCCACCACGACTCCTTTCTTTTTTCTAGCTTAATTCAGGATAGGATGGCATGTGGTTAGTACTGTTGGCTGACGGCTGTGCCAGCAGGTGTTTCTGTGTGCATGTTCTCTTTGCATGTTCTCCTTGTGCTTGCATGGGTTTCCTCCGGGTACTTCGGTTTCCCCCCACAGTCCAAAGACATAATAATAATAATAATAATAATAATAATAATAACTTACATTTATAAAGCATTTTTCTGGGCACTCTACACGCAATAATAAGCGCTTTACACATAGGGGGGAATGTCCTCATCCACCCAGTGTGCAGCATCCACCTGGATGGCAGCCATTTTGCGCCAGACCCCACACCAGACACCTGATAGGTGGAGAGAAGACAAAGTGATGAAGCCAATTATGATATGGGGATGGTTAGGAGGCCATGATTGACATTGGCCAGTGGGAAAATTTGGCCAGGATGAAACTGGGATTTTTAAAGACCACAGAGAGTCAGGACCTCGGTTTAACGTCCGAAAGACAGATGAGATGGACAGGCAGCATAAGTTAATTGAATAAACTAAAATGGCAGTAGTGTATTAGTGTGAGAGTGTATGGGTGTTTGTTAGTACTTACAAACAGCATACAAACAGAAGGGTATCCACTGTGTAAAACCTACAGGCAACAATTTATCAGACAACCCCTGATAAACAAAGGAAAATGAATGAATGAATGAATTCATAGAAGCTCTCGAGACCTACCTGAGCTCAGACTCCCCTCTAACCCGATAAAACAGGAGGGAGATCCAGGCTGGAGGATCATCTGTGCTCAGGGCTCTCTCCCGGGACAGCATGCTAAGTGTGAACTCTTGAAACTCTAAAAAACCCTTAAATAACATTTGATCTGTGCTAGAAATTATATTTCATTAATATCTTTCAAATTTTAAAAAGCCTGTTTACTGTTGTGGGTCATTGGGAGTTTTGACTTATTAATATCGTTTTTTCCTTTTTATTGGAATTTAAAACAACTGTCTATTTGAAATGATTCCTGTGATGGCCATCATGATATTTTTAAGGATTTCCTTATTATATTCTGCCGTTTATTTTTTCCAGAAAACCAATTTGGCAACTGTTTTAGAAGAAGACGGACCGTACACACTGTTTGCGCCAACAAATGTGGCTTTTGCCTTGATGAAGCCAGACTATTTAGCCTACCTAAAATCTGAAGAGGTAGCATACAATATAACAACTGTTTTTAAATCATTTTAACTTATAAATGTATGTTCTGTCATCAGCCTCACTTTACTTTTCTCTTTCCTCTTATAGGGTAAAACAAAACTACTTGAACTGATGCGCAATCACATAGTGTCCACGACTCCGGTTTGTATACAGATGGCTACAAATGTGTTCAAATGCATTTCTTAATCATTGACTACTAATGGCAGTCATATGTATTTACAGCTAAGCGCCTATGTTATTGTGTCAAACCCTCGTGCTGTGACCATGGCTGAACAGATCCTGACATTTAATGTGACTACTGCTGTAAGTAATAATTCTATTCAGCTAAAAAAGAAAACATTAAATCTAGTTTTTTATGCATTTTAAACGTTTATTTCAGTGGCCATCAGAAGTATTTCAAGATATAGTTCAGCCAGAAATGAAAATCTATCATCATTTACTTACCGTTAAGTATGTGTACTGTATACAGTACAGCATATACAGAATATAAGTTAAAGAATGTTGGTAACCAGACAGTTTCTGCTCCCCTTTGACCATTTTTTCCATACTGTTTACAACACTTTGGTAAATGAAGACAGATTCTTCATTTTTTAGTGATCCCATTGCCCTTATTGTCTAAATACATAAAAGTGATGCCCCTGAAAACAAAAGCTCTTATAATTAGTCATTTTAAGGATGATTTTGGAATTAAAATGCTTTTAATATTTGACTTTATCACATATAGGGGCAGATTCTAGTCAATGGGGAATCTGTAATTGAACTGGACGTTGAAGCAAAGAATGGCCGTCTTCATTCACTTGAGGGTCTTCTGATACCTCCGTCTATAGAGCCCATCCTACCTCACAGGTGTGACATCATAAAGCCCATTAAGTATATGGTAAGCAATCATTTACAATTTTGCTGATATAGGCACAGTTGCACCTCGTGGTTTTGCCAAGTACGATGCGCTCCTGGATTAACATCTTTGTTGGTCCTGGAACATCATTTTTGTTTGGAAAATGTAATCCATACCTATTCCCTACCACTAAACCCAACCATAACTTTATTCCCAAATTCAGGATTAATATTTGGATAGCACTCATGTTGAAGTGCATAAACTCACCATAAACACAAATAGCATCTCTTAATTCTGATTGGCTGAGTTGAATGTTGTTCCAGGATACATAGATGTTAATCCAGGAACATGTCCTACGTGGTGAAATCAGGTTGGCGAGGCACAGTTTGGTTTCAGACAGACATTTCATGCACTGTGAAATGAAGTTAATGTTTTAGTGCATTATATGAGAAAATAGATTTTTGATTATAGTTGTATCTAAAGCAGTGATACCCAAACTAGGGCCCGTGGGCCAAAGTTGGCCCTTTGTTTCCTTTGATTTGGCCCGCCAGAGGAAAAATGATTGAGAAGGATTGGGGAATGCCTTTAACAGAGATTCTCATTTAACCTTTTGTTCGTTTGCTTTATTGTTGAGCAACAAAAAAAGCAAACTAAAATTAAATCCTTCACTCAAATGTTGCAAATAAATCAGATTGTTTAGAAATGTACATACTGTCACTTAAGGAGAAGGGGACAAAGCAAAAGACATTGGCGTGCAAATCAAGGCAAAGGCATGGTTCAGCATTACCACTGTATTCGGCAATGAACTCTGTTGTTTTATAAGTGGATTTTTAAAAATGCTTTTATTGTAATATGTCCGTTAAAATAATAAACATTTTCGAAAATTAGAATCCATTAGTAAATACAAAGTAATTTTTTCTATTTATTTTTAAATATTATTAAATAAATTGGGAAATTATCCATGGCAGTCTTAATGTAATAACATTAACATTGCAAACCAATGTTTACATTCGGCCCACAGCTCTCAATCAAGCTTGGATTTTGGCCCTTCATAAGAAAAAAGTTTGGGTACTCCTGGTCTAAATTTGTAAGACCTCCTAAACTAAATTTGGAACGTTTAAAAGAGCATAACAGGATATTATAATGACGACATGTAAACCATAAACACAGTGACACCACTACAACACCAGAGAGGGCACTTTAAGATAACTAACTTCTTCAACATGTACATGATTCACCTTATTTTTTCTCTCTTTACAACACAGGTCGCCTTCCAGCTGTTTGTAATCATTGATCATTGTCTCTTTGTCACAGGCTCCATGTGTTAGCTGTACACTTATCTCCAAATCTACTTGTCCAACTGGTGAATCACTGGTAACTTTTTCAATATTAGTGCATTTTAAAATTTAAAACAATAAAGATTACATAAAAATGATTATGAAAGCTTTGTTTAAAATTCCACCCTTTAGGTTGGCATTAATTTTCGTAAAAATGTGCTCAGTGACACTTCTTTGATGCTTTTCCCCACCTTTTTATGACTCCAAAAGGCATACAATAGAGGCTGTGTTTTCAATAAGAAGCAACTTGGCCTGAGCTTACCCAGCATTGGCTGTTCCCACATCTGCAATGACACAAAGACTGTGAGTATTTATTTAACTTTAGACATTTTGTGTCTAACACATTTATGCATCATTTGCAGCTGTGTCTAGCTTATCAAAAGTCGTATTACCCGTTATTTGTCTTGACTAGACTCCTCAGTGCTGTAAAGGTTTTTTTGGACCTGACTGTTCCCCATGCCCGGGTGGTTTTACCACCCCCTGTTCCTCTCACGGGACGGTAAATCCTACACACATTCATACCTAGTGTACTATGTAGTATTTTTTTATTAAAAAAGCTCTTATTGTCTTTTTGTTTTAGTGCTCAGAAGGCATTGATGGAAACGGCACGTGCCAGTGTGAGCCCAAGTTCAAAGGATCGCGCTGCCAATATTGCGCTGACTCCAACAAATATGGCCCGAACTGTGACAAAAGTACAAATTCATTTCATTGAATGAGGTTTGTGAATATTCCAGCTGATTAATAGTATGTTTTTGCTTCCAGCCTGTTGGTGCGTACACGGCACATGCGATAACCGTCCAGAAGCCAGTGGGAAATGTAAGCAGGGCTCCTGTAAAGACGGCTATACCGGAGAGTACTGCGAGCTGCAGACCCAGCCGTGTGGACCAAACCAGCCCTGTCATGCACATGCCAACTGTGTGTCCAATAAAGGAGCATTCACGTGAGTGATCAGGGGCTCTCATATTTAGAAAAGACAGACCACATGTGGTCAAAGATATATACCATCTAGCACTACCTTATCTTTGTTTTTAAAAAAATCGCCCCATCCACCCCATCTCCCCCTTTCCTCTTTTACCATGGGGAGTTCTCGAGAACTACTTACATGCTCATTGACCAGGCAGGAGCCTTGGGTTTAATTATCTCTGTTCTCTCCTGGGACAGCATGCCAAGCCTGCTGATATTATCAAGCAATAGCTAAGTTTGAACTCTTAAAGTAGTATTATTATTCTGTTCAAATTTATTCGTTTAATTTTTTATCTTATGTTAAAAATGTGTCTTTTACTTCTTTTTTTTAATTGAAAGACTTCCTTTGCAAGGGGATATTTACAGGGTTTTGCTAATAAAAAAAAAAAAAACAAGAACATAAGTAGCATATTTCTTGTTTCTGTTACATTGATTTATTTTAGGTGTGTTTGTAAACCTGGTTTTCAAGGAGATGGATACATGTGCATGGAAAGTGATCCCTGCGCTTTACCTCATCGCGGAGGCTGCAGCAAAAATGTAAGTCAAATGCATTAATTTAATTTAATTTAATTTAATTTAATTTAATTTAATTGATTTAATTTAATTTAATTTAATTTAATTTAATTTAATTTAATTTAATTTAATTTAATTTAATTTAATTTAATTTAATTTAATTTTATTTTATTTTATTTTATTTTATTTTATTTTATTTTATTTTATTTTATTTTTCATTCATTTTTTTGTCGGTTTAGTCCCTTTAATCTGGGGTCGCTACAGCGGAATGAACCACCAACTTATCCAGCAAGTTTTTAGGCAGCGGATGCCCTTCTAGCCGCAACCCATCTCTGGGAAACATCTACACAAACATTCACATACACACTCATACACTACGGACAATTTAGCCTACCCAATTCACCTGTAACACATGTCTTTGGACTGTGGGGGAAACTGGAGTTAATTTAATTTAATTTAATTTAATTTAATTTAATTTAATTTAATTTAATTTAATTTAATTTAATTTAATTTAATTTAATTTAATTTAATTTAATTTAATTTAATTTTTTAATTAATTTACTTAATTAATTTTACTTTATTTTATAATTTTTTTATTTATACATACAGGGACAATTTAATACATGACATGTTGTGCCAGAGTTTGCTATAAAGCTAATTTACATCATATATTGTCCTTGCAGACAATCACACATTGTTTAAGAGGTGGTGGTGCAAGATCATTAAATATTTTATACATTAAACACACATCAGCATAAAATAAAATAAAAATCAAATGTGTTTTTCCTTTTCTTATATTTTTAATAAAAGTGTTATTATTTTATTTATTAAATATTTTATTTTATTGTAAATCACTTTGCATCAACTACGGTTGTGTAAAATTCTGCTCTATAAATAAACCTTGCCTTATGTTGTTCAATACAATTACAGTAATGATAGCTCCTTGCCCCTTTAACTAAAAGCTTTAGTTTGTTCATGAATAATAATCAATGGTTTTAATGTTGTAATGTTCCTGTGGGACCAACTTGTAGTACAATAAGATAAATGAGGGAAGATCACTGTAATCATAGAAAGTTTAGCTTAATAACTGATGCCTGATGTTTCTATAAATCAATTCGATTTATATTAGATAATTAAAGCAATTAGAATCCATAATTACATATTTAAAATGATCAAAAAGGTTTATTGCTTCTCCATTAACTTAAATATCTGGCAATGCTCCTCAGTTTACTTGATTAAAAAAAGCATTCCTGCAGTTTTACTTGAATTGTAACCGGTCTGACACTTTCTTATATGCAGCAGTAAGTTTGTTAGCAGCTTGTTCTTTGGTTTTTGTGTGGGTATATACTGCTGTGTCGTAAATCTGCAGGTAAATCATTCATGTATAACTTAAACAAAATTGGTCCAAGTATTGATCCCTGTGGAACGCCAGTATTACAATAAATAAATGGTGAACGTACATCATTAATCCTTATACATCTGTGTGTTCGTGCTTCACTTAAGCATGTCATGATAATGTGTGTATTCTCGTATCCTCTCAGGCCATATGCATAAAGACTGGTCCCGGGACACACAAGTGCAAGTGTCTGAGTGGATGGAGGGAGGATGGAGATGAGTGCCAGGCCATTAATAACTGTCTGGATCCATCTAGAGGAGGGTGTCACCCCAATGCCACCTGCATCTACGTGGGGCCAGGACAGGTGAGAGACGCCGTCGTGCTTCCAGAACTACGTCTATCTAGATCTGCAGGGTTTTTGATGAATGTTATCCCACCTTAGATTGACTGTGCTTGCAAAAGTGGTTACCACGGCAACGGGAGGGAGTGTGAACCTGTCAATCAGTGTGTGGAGCAGAAGGGTGGATGCCATTTCCTGGTCAGTGTTCAGACCAAACAAGGCATGCGATTGGATGAATATCAGCCACATCTTGTAATTTTCCCATATTCCCATAGGCCACCTGCCAGTTCCTGAACCCAGATGGATGGCATTGTGTGTGTGAAGATGGCTATGCTGGTGACGGGAAAATTTGTTATGGTACTTTACTGCAGGTAATACATCTTAATTTATGTCCATAGTACTTTTAACAATGTAGAATCTGTCAAAGCAGCTTAACCACTTAAACTCTGCTGCTATTTTTGGATTTCCGCCTGGATTTTGCCTACCCAAATTTGAAAGCTTCCCAAATCCACATACAGACGTGTAAATGCAAAAATTTGGTATCATTTTAAAGAAAACCCTTTGAATTTCCATAAAACACTATTGAAAGTGTTTAAAATAACTGTATATGTTGCCTGTGTTATAATAAACACCTAAAAAAGAGGCGCTTTTTGTATTTTTTTTTATAAACTCAAATTTGAAAGTGTACCTTTTAGGTTCTGTGTGGTCTAGCAAGCTGTAAATAATTTTGGTGGTTCCTGCACATGTCTGTAATCATAGGAAAAAAGAAAAAGGTCTCTACCATAATATAATAAAACTTAATAAAAGTTATTGCATTCCAACTGATGAGAGGTGCTATACAAGCCACAGGGATCGATCACTGTTTTCATATTTCACTATTCTTTTGTTTGTTCAAACATAATTCACTGTGTTTGGACCACACCAGACATAACAAAGGATTACTTATGCACATCACCTCAAAAACAGAGGAGAATGGCCCTGAAGGGCACAGCATTAGGTAAGAGATGACAGCTGTCTGTGCTATCTGGGGCTGCTTATTGATCATGAATGTATTGTTTACATTTCTGCGCCATGGAAACACCACAATTCATTCAACAACTGTTTGACATATAAATATAATTCAGTAAAAAGAATGCTAGAACTGTATGAGCACCGGCAAGAGCTTTCATTTGAGTTATAACTTGTACATGTGTCATATAAAAAAATATGAAAATGAACCAATGTAAAATACCTAGCTCGAGTATTCAAAATACTGTGTATTTAAGTGTAAATAACTTTTATACAGTAGAATAAAAACCAAAGTGATGCATATGTGCATAAAATATAGATTCTACACTTTCAAACGACACCACTTACGGGGGTCTGGTGCAACGCTAACCCTTTAAATCTGAAAGCGAAAGTCGATGACGTCAAAACGTTCACAACAAAACTGGCAGGTGACACTTCCTTTCACAAACCCTCTCCTGTACCAGCAAGGGACTCTAAATACATGTCCACTGACTGTACACCAGAAGCAGCCGTTTCTGCTTGCCTTTTTATGAATATTACAAATTCAAGCCTACTACTAGTTACTGTTTACTATGTAGTCTGGGAGTGGCACTATTAGACAGGGTTTCTCTTATTGTCGAATACATTTTAATTATGCTATGCAGAGGTGGGGCATTACTAAACGATATACTCTCTCAGATGCTATTGCTTCAAAGTTATTTTTGATTTGATAAATATTCTATGTATTGTTTCATTTTGCTTTTCAGGAGGTGTCGACAAACCCAGATCTTCTGGGATTTAACCAGTGGATCTCCGTAAGTTACACTTTAGTGTGTTTTTTATGTTGACATTTGTTTAAAAGCAACTATAGCTAATAGTTATCATTGATTTGCCAAGTATTTCAGAGGCTGTGTGTGCAGGTAGCATGTTAAATAATCCCTGTTCATATGAATCTGCTGAAATGACTAAAGCTTATAGATGTCAGGCCAAAACCTTTGCTCAACTTTTTTGTAAAACTGCTTTTTTCAAAATCTAAAATTTAGAAAATTGTATTTTGTGGCCACAAATATACAATACTGCTTTGTTTTGTTGTTGTTGTGTGACTTGTGTCAGAATTGGTGTTGGCTAAAAACCCCTTTGGTTGCGATTTTGCAATTGAGCCACTAGATGGAGACAAGGCACTGTCTATTTTTTGTCTGTAACTGAATCATTCACACTTTTTTCATCAAAAGCATGAAATATTGACTGAATATTTGCATTTGTTTGCTAAATAATACAAAAACAACGCTGTCAAGCACACACCTTTTTTTGATCCACGGCCACTTAATTCAAGTGGTGCTCGCTGCAGAGCCATTTGAGGAGAGCTGAGCTCCAGCGAGGGGGAGCTTAAGCTTGAGCTCCACCTTTTTTGCACTTCTTCTACGAGTGATGTCACTGGGGGTAGGGTTAGGGGTGGGGTTGGTGTACGCATTAAAACAGCTTACAGGAGGAGGAGCGACAGCTCATGCTCCCCCTCGCTGGAGCTCAGCTCTCCTCAAATGGCTCTGCAGCGAGCACCCTCTCACTTAATTATATGATAAAAGAAAGAAAAGAAAAAAGAAAAGGTTGCTGGTTCGAGCCTCTGCTTTGTCAGTTGGATTTTCCAGTCCGAAGGCATGTGGTACAGGTGAATTGAATAAGCTAAATTGGCCATAGTGTGTGTGAATGTGTGCAAGAGTGTGTGGGTGTTTCCCAGTGTTGGATAGCAGCTGGATAAGTTGGTGGTTCATTCCTCTGTGGCGAACCCTGATTAAAAAAGGGACTAAGCCAAATAGAAAATGAATGAATGAATTAATAAATAGTTAGTTAGTTAGTTAGTTAGTTAGTTAGTTAGTTAGTTAGCTAGTGGCACACTGGTGGGTTGTTGTTGCTTTATGAATGCTCACTGTATAACATGCTAAGTGTTCATTTGAATAATAATATTTTGTAAACAAGTCAGTGACTGAATCATTCACACGTTTTTCGTGACAAATTTGTCAAAAACATGAAATATCAACTGAATATTTGCATTTGTTTGTTAAATTATACAAAAATAACACGGTCAAGCACACACTATTAACCACTGTCTCCTAATTATATGATAAAAGTAAAAAAAAAGAAAACCAATATTAGTATCTTTATTTATTATTTTATTTATATTTTTGTTTATTTAGTAATTTAGTTAGCAAGTTAGCATTACATGTCTAGATGTATACCATGCATAACATAATAGAATAACATGTCTCATTAGAATAATTCTTACTAAATATTATTTATATTACATTTTTATTTTCTGTCTGAAATATGATTGTTTGTTTGTTTATTTATTTTCAAGGCTAACTTTTTTTATTTTTATTTTCATATATTCTTGTTAGACTATAATTTCTGACTGTTTGTCTTCTGGAACACATCATAGAAAGCAGAACTTTCTCAGCTGCTGTCAGAGAGAGAAAATCTCACACTATTTGTGCCGTCGGCTCAAGCCATAGAGAAAATGAGTAAAGAAGACAAAGACTTCTGGATGACCCCCAGTAACCTTCCAAGTCTTGTCAAGTAAGGACAGCACTGAATTTACATGCAGCCCCTTCAGCTAATTTACATACAGCCCATTTTCACTAACTAGCTGTTTTTTAATCTCTTACAGAAATCACATCCTTTCTGGGAGTTTTACTCTCAGTGATCTTAACACCTCCCCATCCCAACGACTGGTTTCCCTTTTGAAAAGGACACTTCCTGTTTACTCGACCAATGATGTAAGAGGAAAACATCTTATCTTTGCTGATTACTCCAATCCAATTGTGTCTGTCATTAACCTTTAAGAGGTTTTCTATCTTTTTTTTTTCTTTTTTGTCTTTTTATTCAGACAACCATTGTTGCAGGAGGAAAAATTACATTTGGAGATATGGCAGCAAAGAATGGAGTTATACATCTTATTGACACAGTACGACCCCAGCCTCTCTCTGTATTGTTTTCAAATAAACATCATTTGCTAATAAGCTTGTGCAGAAAAGGTTTTGTAAAATTGTGTGTGACTTGTATATATGCACATACAAATGCAGAACAAATACAGATTGAACAAGTGTGTCATTCTCTTCAGGTGCTGATCCCAGAGCAGCAGATGAGCGAAGGTTTACTGCTGGTTTTGAGAAAGAGGTCTGATCTCTCTCTCTTCTATGGCTCTCTTATGGTGAGTGTTTTATCTATCTATCTATCTGTCTGTCTGTCTATCTGTCCGTCCGTCCGTCCGTCCGTCCATTTTTAGATTTATAGACTGTAAATTATAGTTGAAGTACTGTAAAACAGAATAATGTTGACCACTGGGTTAAAATGGGCCACCAAAATGCTATTATGAAAGTATTAATAATGCGATTATTTTAAAATGTATTACTTATTGTATGTAATTGAGCTGATGTGTTGCATGTTCATTAATTATTTGTACATTTTTCATTACAACCTGTAGGCTATTTCAATTAAATCATTTAGTTTTCTTTCACAGTATCATGACATATTTTCAATGAACATGTGCAACGATATATATGTAAATATTCATATTTATACTATATTCATATATACTAAATATTTGTGTAAATAATCAATTTAACTGGGATTCAGATTAGTTAATCGATTATTAAATTAAATTGTCAAATTATAGACTAGTTTGTTGATTTTAGTGTTTCACATTATTGAGCCATTTTAACCATGTTCCAATAATTTTGTGCTGTAAATGTTTCTGTTTTTTTTTTTTGTTTGTTTCTCTGTAGTGGGTGTAGCACCATAATCATGCACATGCTAACGGTATATCTAATATATTACTGAAAAGCAAAGATCTTACTCTACTTATCTTGCATTTATCCAGAACCACAACCTGACAAACGAAATGGAGGAATCTTTGGGTTTTACAGTGTTTGCTCCAACAGATAACGCAATACAAGATTACCTAAAAAGAACAGGCAAAGAATCACTGGTATCATACAAACACACTAATATGCATTGCCTTATTTAATATTATATAGCATCTCATTCTTGCATCATGTATTTTGTGTGTGTGTGTGTGTTATTTTTCTAGGATTTGAATGTGACCAAGTATCACATTATACTGACTGAGATTTTAAAAGACGTAGATTTGGTGGATGGACTGTACAAGGACACCATGCTGGGCTTCCAATACCAACTGGGATTTTTCCGTCAAGATAAGAGAGTGCGTGCCAGATATGTTAATGTTTGCTGTCGGTTCAAACTACTTCTATAAAATAATAAGCCATTTGTTGAGTTTTTAGAGATTAAATTGAGATTATTAAATCAATATTTGAGTTTATTTTGGGACAGCTTATTTGTTTTATGTTCAGTCTAACAACTTAACTTCAATGTCTTCATGTTGTCGCAACACAACTCATTTCTATCATAAATATTTAATCATTGATATATTTGGGATTTCTCTATCGTAGTTGCTTGTAAATGAGGCTGAGGTGAATGTGACAGACTTGGAGACCAGTAAAGGCGTCATTCACATCATATCTGCTGTCCTCAATATCCCCAGCAATCGCTGTGACAAAGCTACCAGTATTCTTTTCTCGGTACAGTACAACTGTTTAACCTAGTAGATATTACAGTCTTGTATTATTGAAACGGGTATCCTTAATGTGTACATTGTGTCTCTAGGGACGTTGCATGGACTGTTTCCAAACAATTATAAACCCATGTCCTTCAGGAACTAAAAAAGTGGTGAGTCTCAAAAATATTTGATCAATTATAATGGAGGATTCACTTTTATAGTCACAGTTGAAAACATTTGTGCAGTGTCACAACTGATGTCCACCAATACATCCACACAATTATAATTACATCACTTCTGTTCTGTTTAGTTTGCCTGGGTGCAACTGCTAATAAAACTACTGTAAAAATTATTTACTGAAGTAAATGAGAATGACATTAAAGAAAATTGCAAAATATATGCTGTTTGCATTAGCACAATTGACTTAAAAATCCTTTTGAGATATTGATGTGCTATATTTAAAATTTTCTAGTCATTTTTACATTTCTCATTCTTCTGTCTAAAAACCCCTTTAATTGCGTTTTTGCAATTGAGCCACTAGATGGAGACAATGGACTGTTTTATATTGTAAACAAGTCAGTAACTGAATCATTCACACGTTTTTAATTTTGAAAAATAAAAAAAAATTAAATTAAAAAATTGAAATATTGGCTGAATATTTGCATTTGTTTGCTGAGTTATTCAAAAACAACACTGTCAGGCACACTTTTTTTTATCCACGACCACTTATTTATATGATAAAAGTAAAAAAAAAAAAATAGAAAAAAATATTAGTGTTTAGTTCATTAGTTAGTTAGTTGTGGGCACACTAACTAATGTTGTTGTTTTTAATGCATGCTCCCTGTATAACATGCCTAAAGCTCATTTGAATAATTATTACCAAATAATAATTATATTGCAATATCATTTTCTGTCTAAAGCATGATCATTTATTTAATTAATTAATTTATTTATTTGCTCAATTGACAAACATACCTTTTGAAACATTGATGTGCTATATTTTACATTTTCTAGTCATTTTTACATTTCTCCAAATTTTTCAGTCTAAAAACCCCTTTGGTTGCGTTTTTGCAGTTGAGCCACTAGATGGAGACAAGTCTTTTTTTGTAAACGAGTCAGTGACTGAATCGTTCACTTTTTTTGTCACAATTTCATTAAAAAACATGAAATATCGACTGAATATTTGCATTTGTTTGCTAAATTATACAAAAACAACACTGTCAGGCACACACCTTTTTTTATCCATGGCCTCTTAATTATATTAAAGACGACCAATATTGGTGTGTTTAGTTAGTTGGTTGCAGACACACTGTTGGGTTGTGGTTGTTTTTTAATGTACGCTCACTTAATAACATGCCTAGAATTCATTAGAATAATTCCCACTAAATATTATTTATATTACATTATTATTTTTTGTCTAAAGCCTAAATTATGATTATCTATTTATTAGCACAATTGACATAATTATTTTTGAAACACTGATGTGCTATATTTTTTTTAATTTCAAGTCATTTTTACATTTCTCTTAATTCTTCTGTCTAAAACCCCCTTTGGTTGTGTTTTTGCAATTGAGCCACTAGATGGAGACAAGGGACTGTCTATTTTTTGTAAACAAGTCAGTAACTGAATCATTCACACGTTTTGTCACAATCATGAAATAGCGACTGAATATTTGCATTTGTTATACGTAATATACATATATTATATGTAATATATACAAAAAACAACACGGTCAAGCACACACTTTTTTTTTTATCTGTGGCCTCTTAATCATATGATAAAAGTAAAAAAAGAAAACTAATGCTAGTGTGTTTAGTTAGTTTGTTCATTCGTCAGTTGCAGGCACACTGTAGGGTTGCTGTTTTTCAATGCATGCTCACTGTATAACATGCTTAGAGTTCATTTAAATAATTCCGACTATTATTAATTACAGTAATAATAATGCTTCATTTGTTTATTATCAGATGAGCAGAAAGAGAAGATGCATGTACAGCCGGGTGTTGCATGGAGACACACTGCTGACCATTGGATGTAAATTTTCTTGTGAGAAAATCACCATTGTATGTACATTATACAGTCATTGGGTTTTCACAGCCTTCTGGAATTCAGCATGGAAAATGTTCATCTTTAAGTAAAATATCAATTTCTTTTTAAAGGAAAGAATATGTTGTTCGGGTCATTATGGTATCAACTGTGAGAAGTGCCCGGGATCCGAAGATCAGTCTTGCTTTGGCAACGGCATATGTAAAGACGGCATCAATGGCACAGGGGTCTGTCTGTGCAACCAGGGCTTTAACGGCACCGCATGTGAATCCTGCCAGCCTGGCAAATATGGAATTCATTGTGATCAAGGTATTAGCCAATTAAAAGGCACATACTGTGTTCTCATATAACAATGAGCTTTAATAATAACTGTACATTCTGTTTAGAGTGCAAATGTGTCAACGGACGCTGCAAAGATGGTATAGATGGAGATGGCAGCTGTGCATGTGATCTGGGCTGGAGAGGAGTAAACTGCGACATTGGTATGGTATTAACCTACTGCATAAACTCACACACACACGCACTGATCTCAAACGGTATTCATTACAAATATATTTTGTAAACTGCAAATAAAAATGAAGCCATGTGGACTGTTTACAGCTATTAAATCAGATATGTGCGGAGGAAAGTGCCACAGCAGTGCCAAGTAAGTTTGCCTTCAAATTACTATCAAAGAGGTATTATTCTACTATTTAATGCTTTGAAAAGCACACCCAGCCATCATTATTTTGTTTAAAGAAGTCTAATAGACGTCCTAACTAAAACAAGGCAAAGTTTGGGCTGTCAGTGAAATTCTAATACAGTAAATGTCTAAGAATACCCCAAAACTAGACTAGTTATGAAATACCTAATAACTAAACATGAATCCTGCCTGTTTATTTGATGATTGGTGTAATTTTGAGCTATTCTTAGACATCTTTGCTTTAAAAAGACTATAGATGTCGAAGAATAGCCCAAAACTAGTCTGGTCATCACCAGAATAAATAACTAAATGTGAATTCTGTCTGTTTATTTGATGATCAGTGTAATTTGTGCTATTATTAGGCATCTATCACTTCTTTTTTTTTTTTAGCAAAGACAACCATGCTAGATTTCTATTAAATGCAAAATTGCTTGGTGGGTGTAGATTATTGTTTAGTAATCAAGATTTTGAAATGGATCAAAATTGTCCCAAGACAAGAATGGCTGTTAAATAGTTTTGATGAAAAGTGATGATTCACTTCAAATGTTGACCTTTTTACACATATTTCCAATTATTACAGCAGTACGCTATTTCATATATGGCCTGTTTTTTGATGGCTGGAATATGCAAACAAGAAAAACCATCTGAAAGGTTGTTGGGTAAATGCATACTTCATTAAAAATCACATTTCACCAAAGGGTGTCGTGACAGGATTAGTTGAATTAGAAACAGCTGCACTTCACTAACTGAAGGTGTGGTTTGAAATCGGTTTATTGCTTGACATTAATTGCAAATACCCCTCACCTGTTGGGTTTTTAACTGGGTCAAATGCTTTTGTGACATCCTTGCATACAAACACATGGCTTAAACTTGTGTTTTAATTGTAGCTGCTTGGTGAATGTGGTGGACAGCTCATATTACTGTAGTTGTGCTGCAGGATTTCAGGGAAACGGCACATATTGTGAAGGTATTCATCATAAGAACTTTAAATAACACTTGAAACCAGTCATTTAATATAATACATGCTGTTATCTTCCACCCAAGCTATAGATGCATGTGCAGAGAGGAATGGAGGTTGCTCAGCCCATGCTGTGTGCAAGCGTACTCTTCCTGGAAGGAGAATATGCATGTGCCATCCAGGTTATGAAGGCGATGGAAAGGTTTGCACTTGTAAGTGTGAATGTCTACATCTACAGTTAGTTTGTATAGGGGTGTACATAGTTAATACTATTGTTAACTATTTGCAACATTTCCATTAACATGTTTGGTGACTAAAATACTCCATGTCAATTTTACTGTTACATTGTATTTTAATGTGTGCATCTCCTTAAGCCATCAATCCATGCTTGGATGGTGTAAATGGAGGATGCCATGCGGATAGTAACTGCATTCATACAGGCCCTAATAAAGTAAGTAGAGTTTGGATTGAATTTAGTATTTAAATAAGTGTAAAAGCCATACATTTACTACAATCTCGTTTTAAATTGCTTTTAAACTCTTTACAGCATGAATGTTAAACTTAGTTCCTGAAAGCCAAAGCTCAGCAAAATTCCACTAATTCTACCTGTAACTTTCTAACATAATAATAATAATAATTCATTACATTTATATAGCGCTTTTCTGGGCACTCAAAGCACTTTACACACAATGGGGGGGGGGGGATCTCCTTATCCACCACCAACATGCTTAAATGAGTTCAAGCACTTAACACCTGTGCATTATAATAGTACTATGAAATTAAGAATCTATAGTTTAAAACACAACTTCATTCCAGTTTGAATCATTTAGTTTACAGCAGCAGTACTTAACCCAGTTCTTGAAAATTTAATTAATGAATTTATTTATTTAGTGATTTTACATTGTAGATAGTGTTAAAGCTGCTTAAAGATTTACCCTCATGCAAAATTCAACTACAACCTTGATCAAACACACCAGTTTATAATTACAAAAATACTCCAGATCCTGTTCAAGTTTAGTAGTGTTCAAACAGGGTTGCAGTTGAACTATGTGCAGTGATGTTTATCCCTGTTCATACAACTTTGCCTTCCTGCAGAGTCAAAGAACACACACTATTTGGAAATAATTCAAGACAAAATACTTACTAAAACACTGCTGCAACTTCTTTTTTTCAGTTATAGTTAAACAAATGCTTAAATGGAGAGAGGTTACGAACAATGAAAATACAATGCATGTCAAATTACAATACCTATAGGGCCATAGCTCTGCAGTTAAGTTTTTGCCCAGCTTTTACACTATAGGTATTAGACAAGCTTAAATTGGTTTGATTAGATGGTTAAGGTTGGAACTAACCTGTGCAGAGCTATAGCTCTCCATGAACTGAATTTGACCGTTGTATTAACCAGAATTTCTCTACTTCAGACAGCATGCCACTGCAAGGAGGGATTTTATAAGGATGGAAAGAATTGTGAACTTATCAATCTTTGTAAGGAGGTACATGCTTCTGCTTAAATTATCATATTTAACAGTTTATGCTTTAAGAACATGTAGTTTAACTTAGAAATTAAAGTTAAAAATTGGATTATATAGAACAGACATTGTATACACTGAACTGCATAAATTATTTTGTCAGAAAAATGGAGGATGTCATAGGGCAGCCATTTGTACTATGACAGGACCCCTGCAACGGAACTGCACATGCCATGCTGGTTATGTTGGAGATGGAGAGATCTGCAAATACACCCTGCAAAGAGTACAGTAAAGTAAAACCAAAATAAACTTAATTCCCATTACTGCAACTAATTCTTTGTTTGTTTAGGAATTACCAATTGGAACTGCAAGGACTGCATTTGTCAAGGCACTATTTGTAAGTTTAATTTAACATTGATATGCATTTTATTTGGAAATTGACTTAACCCCCTTTTTTATTATTGACAGAAAAACCGTATTTATGAACTTGACACCCGTGGCCCCTTTACAGTCTTTGCCTTCAGATCAGAAAATTATAAAAACCAGGTAAGAGTGAGAAAGGCAGCATACAGGGGAGAGTTAAACTTACAATGATTTGGTTGAAGCTGAAAACTAAAAATCTCATTTTAGTAAACAAAGACATTAGTGTTTTAAAGTCTAGAATCAGACATAACAGCACAATGCATTACAAACTGAGGTTTGAAGACTATTATATACAACGGCTTATGCAAACCTACTGTAAAACATTAACAGATTCAAATGGAAAATTAGCATGGTTGTCAATATCTTAATTCTTAAAGCATTACTTTAGACAAAAGTATATCAAATCAAAAGAAAGTGGGTTTTTAAAAAAAAAAAAAAAAAATTGATGATTTAGACACACACCAAAGCATTTTTGCAGTTAAACAGTTCTAACTAGTCAAGTTATAGTGCCTATAATTTTAAACCCAGATGTAAGTTAATGCCTCAAACCTTCTCCCATACACCTACCTGTAATTAAGCCTGAGATTAAAGGGACTTGATTAGCTGGACCAGGTGCATTTAATCAAGGTTGAAGGCAAACTCACTCAGTGGGGATGAGTAAACATTTGAGTATTGCACTTTCCAAACCTCCAACATGGGCTTGTAGACACAAAATAGTAAAGTTTAGTTGAAGAAAATGTCAATTATACAAAATTTGAAGATTAATATATTAAGTGAGAGTTAGAAGGAAATATCTAGTTACACGTACCTGCAGTTTAGAAGATCTATTGCACAAGGTTGAAGCAAAATTGTTACGGCTGCACCCAAATAATCACCTTTCCAAACGTATCCTGTAGGAAATAAATTAAACTGCATTAGATTTAAGGTGCATTAAAAAAAAAGCAGCAAGAGTTAAGCACAAACATAGCAAATAAAAAAAAAATTCACTCACCCTTACTTTCCAAAATCAACCTGTGGAACATAAAAGGGTTAGTTTTAGAACAAACTGAGGGACTTAGATTAACTAGGTGCACTTAAAGATTTAAGCAGCAAGAATTAAGCACCCAGTTGTTCACTTACCCTCACTTTTCAACAAACTTGAGGAACTGACAACATTAGGAGTCACATTAGAACTCGCTGATATCCTATGATGGGAAGCACACAAGTTTAGTCAAAAAAACTAAACTTTGCAGTTAAAGTTAAATTAAGAGTGCAGCAGCATCAAAAAAAATGTCAACTCACCCTCACTTTCCAACATCAACTTGTGGAACACGAAAGGGTTGGACGAAGAACAAGGCTGAGGGACGCAAGTAGATTGACCAGGTGTATTTAAGATTGATAATTCAGCAGCAATCAACATTAACACCCTCATTTTCCAACACACCTGGAAAGAAAAACAATTATATTGTGCATTTAATTTAAAGGTTAAAGCAAGAGTTCAGCAGCACTCAAAAAGGTTCACTCACCCTCACTTTCCAACAGAAGTTGTGGAACCTACTAAAAGGCTAGTCTAAGAACATTAGCTGAGGGCCTAATTACATTGACCAGGTGTATTTCATTAGGATTGAAAGAATTAGCAACCAAAAATTAGACAGGCACTTGATTAGGTAGATCAGGTGCAATAGATTAGGATTAAGCTTGACTAGAATAATAAATTAAGGAAAAATCACTTGCCTTATTTCCAAACCTTTAACCTGTGAAACCAAACAAAAACTGTTAAAGATTAAACACACCATTTGAATCCACCTATACCATATAAAAATAAAAAAGGCCTTAAGTTTTGGTAGAAACAGTTACATTTACCTTTAGCATTAGCAGGATATTAAACAGCAACTTATTATAATGCCCCCTTGCAAAACAACAACTGGAAGAAGAAGAAAAAAAAAAGTATTTTAAAAATGAATAACTCCCTTACCAGACATTGCCATACAAAGACCACAAGCACTGCTCCCATGAAGCTGTTTACAGCAAATGGCTGAAGCTGGCTATTTAAGCACTAGAGGTACAAAGAGTCTAGAATCTCATTGGCTGACAAGTTGAACGATCGTTTGCTCGTTAAAAGATTATGCAAGCTGACTGGCTGGCAGACTGCAGTAATGAACCTATTAGCTTGCAGCACAAGCTGAAAGATCAGTCAGGATTGTTGACGCAAGTGACTGATATCTGCTGAGACTTTAAACAGTAACTTATATAGGAACAGATATATACTAACTCAAAAAATGTCAATGATTATTTAGTGCAAAAAAAAAACATCTTAATGGTGCCATTGTAAGCTAAAACAAAACATTTTCCACTTTCAAATAGTCTTTATATCTACATAATATAATGAGAATCAGTACCAGATACTGTGATGTGATTTGACTAATATGTTTTGCTTTTGTACAGTCAATAGATCTTCTAAAGCGGACTCCTGAAAACACCAGAATCATGAGGTACCACATAGTGTGCTGCCGGACCCTCCTTCCACAAGACCTCATGCAGCCTCGTAACCTGACCACACTTTCTGGGGACATCCTCTCCATCACATACTCTGAGGTACAGTGTGCCTGATGCATAAGCAAATAACATGACAGCAAATAAAACATATTAAGCACACGATTCGTTTCCAGGATACTATATACATCAATAACAAGGCCAAAGTGCTGTTCAGCGATATTGAAAGCAGCAACGGAATTTTACACGAGATCGACTCTGTCCTGGTCCCACCTGGATTAGAGATTCGGGAAGACAAAAAGCAAGACATCATACCGGTATGCATTAGCAGGATGCCTTTATTTAGTAATACCAAGTTGAATAAATCAAGCATGGGATTATTAAATAACACAGATCTATTTTTTTCTGACAGCGTAACTTTTCAGAAGTGGCCAGTGCCAATGGTTTCAAGACATTCTTCAAGCTTCTTGAGGTAAAATAGCACCATTATTAGTACACTGTAAACAACTTCCTGTAAACTCTACATGAAACTACTGGCAGCAGTTTGTCAGTGAATTATGTAAATTAATTAAAGCAAAAGTACTGTATTTACAGCACCATTTATCTTGCTGTATGTGTATTTACAGTAAGTTATGTGTTTCTTTATTGTAAAATATGCAGCAATTTTCACAATGCAACTTTAAAATACAGTAACATACCGCATAACTGTCCTACAGTCAAATACTGTTTGAATTATACAGTGTTATTTACATAAATCATTAACCTCAGAACACAATTTGTTAGTAAAGTAAGGTTTTATAGATCTGTTTTCAAGATTATGTAACATAAAATTAAGGGGAATTAACAAAAAAACACTTTATTTTTCTCTGAATTCTTTAAAAACTTGTTTGCCTTAAGGACACTGATACATTGAAGTTGGTGATGGACCCGATTCATCAGCCAGTCACACTGTTTATGCCCACGGATGATGCAATGTCTGCTCTGTCTCAAGAGCAGAAAGACTTCCTGTATGCAATGCATAATCGTGATAAACTATCTGAGTATCTCAGATACCACATCCTGCGGGACACCAAGGTTGGCCTCTATCCAGTGTTTTCAATTTTTTTGGCAAGTGCATGCTGGTATTAATGATATAGACTGATTCATCATGAAAGGAAATACAGTATTGATCTCTAATGCATCGTTTATATGTTTCAAATTTGTGTGTGGGCATATCTGCTAGCTCATGGCTTCAGAACTCATCTACGCCAGCTCTTTGAAAACTCAGCAGGGCTCAGATCTGTCAGTGGCCTGCATGGGGGAAGAGCAAATAGTGAGATATTTTGCCTTTCTTTTCACATATATGTATATATTGGGTCGTATCTTGTATTTATTAATATTATTATAATAATTATTATTATTATTATTTGATTTTTTTAGGGGGAGCTTTATGTGAATCATAAAGGCTGTCGTATTGTAAAGAGATATCTTGATTTTAATGGAGGCATGATTTATGGCATTGACTGTCTGCTGAATCCTCCAAGCCTTGGGGGACGTTGTGATCACAGGCAAACCATTGATTTCACGGTGAGTCCCAGCTAACTTTTAAGCATTTTAAATGGGTAAAGCTAATATCCTTATAGTATGTTGCAGAATGTGTGAATTATGTTGTATTCAATTTAAAGTGATCAGATTCAAATCAAGTATGTTGAAAAACATTGTGCTTTTTTCTTTTGCTGTAATAGTTAGCTTGCCGGAGTTGTGGGAGCAGTATTATGGATTGCCCACTTGGAAGCAAGCCAGTGGTAATTTTTTATTATTACATTAAAACCTTGCATTAGTATTATTATATTATGGAGTATGGCAATGATGTATTAAATTGACCAAAAATAAGTATAAAGAAATGCATCATTATTAACATTAATGTTCAACAGTGTTAACAGTTGACATGCTGCTGAGAATTCATTACAGAAATAAACTACATTTTAAAAGAAATGTTAAAGAGATAGCTCACCCAAAAATAAAACATGCTTATGATTTATTCACCCTCAAGTTCTTCCAAGCTTGTAATATAGCTTCTGTTTTCTGCTGAACACAAAATAATATATTTTGAACAATGTAACTAAGGACTAACAAGTTAGCCATGTCCTTCAAAATATATTATTTTGTGTTCATTAGAAGTAATTAACGCACACAGGTTTGGAACAAGTGGAGTAAATGATGACAGAATTTTCCTTTATGGATGATTAGTCCTTTTCAGATTTAAAGTAGTTTATTTTTATTGTAATGTTTCAGTTAATCACATCATAAATTTACGTTGTCTTCAATCTAGGGAGAACAAGAGTGTGTCCTTCCAGATTCTGTTATATTAAGGGGATCAAAATGTCAATCAACATGTAAAGTGGTCGTGTGGAAGCCCAAGTGCTGTTCAGGGTACTACGGCAGGGACTGTCTTGGTAAGCAGTGTCTCAATATACTAATATGTGTCATTTCCTTTGAGCTGTAATGGATTTGGAGCTCTGAGATCAATTCTGACAATGTTTTACCAGAGAATGCCTTAGACCAGTGGTTCTCAAACGTTTGTCATCAAGTACCACCTCAGAAAAAAGTTGTCTTTGCAAGAACCACCGTAATGAGCAGTATTGAAATACAGTCGCGTATTAGGTCCAGTAAAGCAGCTAAAGTGTATGCATATTAGTTACTTTTATTAAAAACATTTAAATTAAAATGTGCTTCAAAAAGTTCAAAATGGTAGGCTACTGTTTTTAAAAAGTAAAAAAAGAGAAAAAAAACTCCTGGTTTATCAGCACCTGGAAATGTTGCCTGGACCTCATAAATATAGGCTTTATGCCATCGTATTCATATATAAATCTTTTTTGATCATTTATTTAAGTACATGTAGCATGTACATGACATATTTGATTCATCCATGTACCACTAGAAGGAAGGCACTGATCCACAGTTTGAGAACCAGTGCCTTAGACATAGACAAAAGTGTTTTGCCAGCTGACAAATATTACCCTGTTCTCCAGCATGCCCTGGAGGTCCACAATCTCCTTGCAGCAACCATGGGAAATGTGATGAGGATCATTTAGGCAATGGCACCTGTACTTGTGACACTGGATTTACAGGTGTAGCCTGCGAGTCGTGTTTGGATGGCCATTTTGGACCAGATTGCAAAGGTGAGTTTCTTTTCAATGCAGTTCTGCACACAGTCACAACAAACAATCAGTTTTGCAATTGTTTGCATGAAACAGCTTCAGTATTTAGACTTTTCAGCCACACATTATCATAAATTCTGTGCTTTTTATAGAATTACTGGAATAAAAGTTTATATATTGCATCCTAATACTGCCTATAGTGCCTGCAGCAGTGATCAAAATAGTAAACATCTTTAGGTTCAATTATTGCTTCAATTATTACTTTAAAAGTAACTTTTAAAACTGTATTTGTCACTGAATCATTGAAATTCATTCACAAATGCAGAAATATTCTGTTTATTGCTGAACCTTTTGATTATTTGCATTTGCAAATGTTTATCTATTGCGTTTGTTTTCTTTATAATGTTATTTTATTATTGTTATATTTGTATTATTTGTGTTAACAATGCTTTTGATGCTAGAATTTATAATTGTACTACGTTTAATTCAAGAAAATATCGTCTAATTTAGTTTTCTGCTGATAGATTGGAACAGTTGATGTACTGTGTATCTCTTTTTCTAATACGCATCAATAACTGAGTTAAACTACAAATGCAGATATGATTTGTTTAATGAACTCCTCTACTGTTTCCTCCTCCTAAGCCTGCAATTGCACAGAACATGGGTCATGTGATGAGGGTCTTCAAGGTACTGGGTCATGTTTTTGTGAAGAGGGCTGGACTGGTCCGCAATGTGAAAACAAGTTAGGTACGCACTCTCTTGTTACTCTTTTCCTTTTTAATTGAAGTACCAGATTGGGGTAAAAACTGCAGTTCACCTATTTCTGATTGTTTTTCAGCCGATGGTCCTGTTTGCAATCCTGCTTGCCATGAGAAGGGCGTCTGCATGGAAAACAACACCTGTGTGTGTAAGCCCTTCTATGAGGGAGATGGTATCACCTGCACAGGTACATACACACTGTACAAAAAACTAAGTTGACTCAACTTAAAATTTTAAGGTAGCAAACTTCAGGACATTTTTGAGTTGACTCAACTTTTAACTCAATTACTGCACTTGTCTTGATTTAAGGTGAGTAAACTCAAAAATGTTCTGAAGTTTGTTGCCTTCATTTTAAGTTGAGTCAACTTTTTTTTTCTTACAGTACATGAAGATCTCAATAAATTGATACTAATCGATGATAAAACAAACCATTCACATACTGTACTGTGATCTCTTCTGCAGTGGCCAATATGTGCAAGTACTGGAACGGCGGCTGTTCAAAGGATGCGAAATGCAGTCAGAAGGGGGAGAAAGTGAGCTGCGCGTGTCTCCAAGGGTTTTCTGGCGATGGTTTTGTTTGCACACCCATCGACCCCTGTGTTGATGGTGAAAATGGAGGGTGTCATGAACACGCCACCTGCACCATGACTGGACCTGTAAGCAAGACATTCATATTTAATATAATGCAAATATGGTGCTTTCATACTGGGTCCATAAAGCGTATGTAATGTGTTTTGTGTTCCAGGGTAAGAGGAAATGTGAGTGTAAAGATAGCTACGTTGGCGATGGGATCGATTGTGAAGCAAAGGTGTTGCCTGTCAATCGCTGTCTAGTAGATAACGGACAGTGCCATTCAGATGCTCAGTGCACAGACCTGCACCATGAGGGTATGTATGTATCCTCCATATGCAGGAGTATTGTGATTCTTTTTAATTTACAATGAAGCAAATTATTAGATATTATAATTATTGTTATATTATTAGAAGGATTTCTGAATGTATTTAAATTGTCCATCACTTAAAACGACTACTTAAATTGGAATAATCTGAAATTTGATTAATATTTTAGTGCAGTTTTTAATAATGACTGAAATATTTACCGTCAACATCCTTTTGTGCCATGATTTGTGAATATAATTAAAGTCTTTAAGTTTATTTAAGTTATTTTAAGACATTAAAATTATTCATTTATTAAAATTAAACAAATCTATTTGTTATTATTGCAAATAAGCTATAAATATGTTATATTATGCTAATTATTTTAACAGTGTGGTGCCCTTAAAATCTCATCTGTGCAGTCAGCTTAATTGATTTGAAAAGAAAGCATCTCTTTCTCATCATTCAGATAAAACATTAGGGGTTTTCCATTATCGCTCCACCAATGGAACATACAAGCTCAACTACACCATGGCACAGGAGGCCTGCAAGGAGGCGGGAAGCACCATCGCTACCTACATGCAGCTGTCCTATGCGCAGCAGGTGGTGCTCTTTAAAGAATACTTTGGTTTTTGGCTGCCACTAGGGCTCCTTGTCTAAATGTTACCCGGTGTTAATGTTTATCCCGCAGGCAGGGTACAGCTTGTGCACAGCAGGCTGGCTTGACAAAGCAAGGGTCGCGTATCCCATGAGCTTCTCTAGCCCTAGATGTGGCTCCGGACACGTTGGTATTGTGGATTACGGGGTCCGGAATAACCTAAGTGAGACGTGGGACACATTCTGCTACAGAGTAAAAGGTAAAAAACGTTTTTTTTAAAAATGGCTTTTGTGAGGTTGTGGATTTCAACAGAATGTGTGTTTCAGATGTGCAGTGTAAATGTAAAACTGGCTACATTGGTGATGGATTCTCCTGTACTGGAAACTTGATGCAGGTTCTCTCTGCAACACCGACCCTGTCTAACTTCCTGTCTGTAAGTTGAATTTTAGTTAATTGTCAAAGTTATGTTGTAATGGATGGAATTCTTGTGTGTTTAAAGCTGAAATGTGTTCGTTTTTGTTTTTTTTGTTGTTGTCGTTAAAGTTTTAACATGTTTAGGTACCAATTCTCACCTTTAAACTATGTGTGAAGTCTAAATTTACTACTAGCACACATTGTAATTCTTCAAACAATAAATCTGTTCATATTAATCCACTGAAAAAAAATTAGCCAATTAATTAAAGTCTGATCATTTGCTTCTGTATTTGGATTAGCTGTCTTCTCTGTAAACATCAGTTTAATGGCTTCAGCCACTATATTTTTAACCACGCCCCTCTTATGGCTAGTTTGCTATAAGGGAATGATGCAAAAGAAAGCCCCGCCCCCTACTCAATATTCCATTTACAATTGGAAGAACATCAACATACTGAAATTAAAATCTCAGCAACTTCCGGTCAACACTGACTTAACTAGTAGCTTACTACCTGCCTATAGGTTGTTTATTAGTACTTATAGGCCAAGTTTCACAAACAGGGCTTAGATTAAGCCAGGACTAGGCCTTAGTTAAATTAGGCTATTTAAGCCACATTTATAAAAATGGCCTCAAAAAATATACTACTGGTGTGCACCTGGTGATAAAATATGACACTGACATATTTTAAGACCTCTCACCGCAAGTTATTTTGAGTTCATACAGCTCAAACATGCAATTTAATCTTGACTAGCCTTAAACCTTGTTTGTGAAACCGGGGGATTAAGTATATATTCTGCATGATCTTATTCTACATCACAGGTGTCAAACTTAGTTCCTGGAGGACTGCAGCTCTGCACAGTTTAGTTCCAACCCTAATTAAACACACCTGATAAGCTAATTGAGACCTTCAGTTGTGTTTGAAACCTACAGGTAAGTGTGTTGAAGCAGGGTTGAAACTACACTGTGTGAAACTACATCTCCTCAGGAACTGGATTTGACATCTGTGTTCTCCATCCATAATCCTACCTAATATCTACTACCCTGATAACTATTGATAAGCAACAAATTAGTAGTTTATTGAGGTAAAAGTCATACTTGATGGTTTATTAATAGCAAGAATTGTACCGTGTGACCGACTGTTCTGTCTTTTTCAGCAAATCCTGAATTATTCAACATCTGCATCAGGAAAAGCATTCGTGAATCGCCTTCGGAACATCACTATCCAGTCCACTCTGTTTGTACCTGATAACGATGGTCTCTATAGCAACCAGGTGACTCCCACATCCTTCTGCTCTACTTCTCATTATTTTGTTTCATTTGCTATTTCATTTTACTTCAGCACATCACTATGTTTGACAGAGAAATGTAGGTTTGATAGTATTAAGACAACATGGTTTTGTCAGATGATACAGTTTTCTTTTGTAGAATAATGTCTAATAGTAGGGTTATCAAAACTGCTAGATATGTTTTTGCAATTGTTCTTTTTTTTAAAGGATTTTTGATTATTAGTAAAAAACTAAATAAAGAAGTACAACCCAGCATTTATTTAAAATTGAATTTGTGTAAATGTTAAAGTCTTTATTGAAAACATTCAACACAACGTTTATGTTTTATGAACTTTTACGACATTTAAAATAGTTAAGATTTATAAAAATATAAGTCATATTTTGATTTAGTCACTAATTCGTAAGAATTTGTATGAACTATTATTATAGTACTTATATTCGTACACATTAGTGTGATTTGATTAGCGGTTTGGTTTAGTGCCACACCACACAATCGTACGACTGAATTCGTAGGAATTTGTACAAATGGCATATATGCACAGCTAGTGTTTTTCAGCCAATGATAAACTCCCGGGGAAAGCTTCATGTGACTATTTTCAATTTCATAACGTTCCTATTACAGCATCACTGTTGTAATGTAATTTAAATACATTCAGTTAGATAGACTTAAGCATTTATTTAGTTGTTCAATCGTAAATCGAAAAGAAAGATCATGTTACTGCTAGCACCATCAGTATCAGCAGGCTAGATCACAAACTCCATTAAAGATACTAAAATAAACTGTCATATTTTAAAGACATGGTGGGGAGAAATGGAATTGAATGCAGTGCTTCTTGTCTGGTCTGAGACCCACTTTATATCGTATATCTACAAGTGAAGGTCACTGATTTTTTTTTTAAAGAAAACAGACCTTAAACATGGCGATTTTATTATGGATAGGCAGTTCAATGGAAGCGCTGAGGCTGGCTGAAAAAGACCCTGTACATATACCCAATGGGGTATATGCCGAAGCATGCTAATAGGACTTTTAATTTGCCGGTAACCTGGATTAAGCGCTTCCGGCGAAGTGAATGCCAATGCAAAATCCGGTGCGTTTAAGGTCTGTTTTTTTTAAAAATCAGCGATCTCCACTAGCTGAGTGATATCCGATTTAAAGTGGGTCTCAGATTGTACAAGAAGCACTGCATTAAATTACATTTCCCCCGCCATATCTTTATAATACGAGCATTTATTTTACCCCATTATATTCAATGAAGCTTCTGCGTTAGTCTGCCGATTTTGACAGGCGCGTACGAGTAAACGGCTTTTTGTCTCATTTTACGCTTGAGCAACTAAATAAATGCTAATGTTTATTTAACTGAATGTATTTTTATGACATTACAACATCGATGCTGTATAAGGAACCGTATAAAATGGAAAAAAGTTCACAATAACAGGTCACCAGAAGTGTATTAGCATGGGAACAGCACTAGCTCGACATATACCCTATAAGCCTAAACTGACTAAACATAAACAACTTATGCTTCCCTGTGAGATCAGGTGGATTTATTTGTCTTATGTGTTGACCAGACTTTAAGTGGCAGAGACATAGAGCACCATCTCCTGGATGGGAGGGCTTTAATACTGCAGGCCCTTATTAACGTCACTCATGTCCGAACACGACTGGGCTCCAGTCTGACCATCACCGGTGTGCCTGACCTCCAGAACCCTCAAAAAATGGTGAGAATATCTGCAACTCGCATCCATTATGTCAACACATTCGACTCACATTGACAAACACTGCTTGTCTCAGACCTCCTCAGGATACATCAACGACCGGTATGTCATAGACTCCAACATTTTTGCATCCAACGGGGTGATCCACGTTCTGCAGGGCCCACTGAAAGCGCCTCCACCTCCAACTCCCTCCTTCCACCCGGCTCATCAGGCTGGGTTGGGCATCGGCGTCCTGGGGCTCATCATTCTCATCGTAGTGGCTGGATTCGTGGGATACAATTTCTACACACATAAAACAAAGCCATTCCAGTTCCACTATTTTAAGGTCTTTGTGTTCATGCTTATATATTATTGAGCTGATAGAAATCATATATATGCATACATATTTGATTTGCTGACATTTAATTATTCTTTATCGTAATGTTAGGAGGATGAAGGGGAAGATGTCACCCCAACAGAATCCAGTCCAAACATCAGTAATCCTGTATACGACGCTGCTCCTGCCATTAAAGAACAACCACCAACGGTCAGTGAGTCAAACAGAAGAGACACAAACACTGCTCATTCATCTATAGCTGCCATTAGACTATTGTTTTAGAGAATAATATGAGACTACTTTGGCAAACTCTATTTTTGTAACCAATATCCAACCTTCCCACAATGCTGCAGGAAGGATCTCTGTTAGAAATATTTATTATACATTATTAATCATAAACAATCCATAAATTACAAGATTACAAGAACTTGTTTTTTGTAAATACCTGAAGAGAGCATATTCAACGTTCTGTATTGGTTATTTTTACATTAAAATGTGTAATCATGAACCAACATTCCCAGATTTTGCCAAGGGCATTTTAGCAATATTGATATTAATAAGAACATACCTTATAGATAGCATTCTGTCTCTCTTTTATACATTTTTATAACTATAAACATCTTATAATGTTGCAGACATGTTCTTTGTAATAACCTATACATAAACAGATCCCATACAGAGCATTCTCTAATGTTTACACATCCTCTGAGTTTACTCTTACTTATTGATTTTTATCATTATTTTTTTATTAATTTTTAGTTTTTTGTTTGTGTACTTGTGTTGGTGTTTATTGTGTTAAGTGTATCATAAGTGTGTCGTTCTTGTCATATGTAAAGCACCACCATGTCAGAATGAATTGCCCCAAGGGGATTAATACACATTTAAACTAAACTTACTTTTTATACATCCATAAATTCTGCAGTAAAGGGTCATTTTATTTTATGTTTCAGAATTATAGGTATTAAAATCCTAAAAAGGTGCATTAAAGTTGATGTGATTTGTCTTTTGTTAAAGGAAGAAGACAAGCATCAAGTGATTTCCAGTGGAGTCTTTGAGCTCCTGCAGGACAGCTGAAATCACCTCTGAAACCAAGCAGTCGGTGCAGCTCTCTTTCTGAACACAAGAGGAAAATGTGAACTCCATGTTGCAGTGATGGGACTTTACATGCTAACAGTAGACAGAGAAATCAGAATCTGTGTGTGCATGTGTGTGATTGGTGTGTGTGATGAGTGTGAATATGTCATTTTTAAAACTTGTTTACTAGCAGTTTCTAAATTCTGTTGTATTAAAGACATTAATAAATGTCCAACATGCAATGATTTAAATAACTGCCCTGCTTAAAGCACAATTTAAGGAAACAAATGGAAATAAAAATAAAGAAGTGTTAAGGTTGTGGATTATTTCCTTCTGCTTTAGTTTTCTTTGTGTTGTAATTATTTGACACATGCATGCTTAATTATCCTGCACCTGGACATAATTTTCAGTCAGGTTGAATGATGAAAATCCACACCATCATGTTGGTCTTTGGGAAATGGTGAACTGATTGCACTTAAGACAGTATACTCGGAATTTAGGAACAAAATATAATAGATTTTGCACCTGAAATGTTGGAAGAAGGTAAACAGGTAAGAGTACTTGCTTTAAGAATTGTGTAAAAATTATATGACAATGTTTGACACATTTTATACCTAAAACTACATGATATATAAAGATGTGTACATCAGATATGTTTTCTATTATTGAATTTCGTCAATGCAAGATGAGTTGGATGATTTATCAAAAATGAATCCATGTTATTCTGGTCGAGATCTTGACAGAATCATATTTTAGTTTTTATTCTCTCTCTCCTCTGGCTGAACATGAACATGTTGATACACTTATTGACCACAAGAGGGAGCTCATATTTCTTATCTGCCTAATACACATTATTTATTAACATGCCAATATTTACATTTCATCAAGTATAAAAATGTCAACATGAATGTCGTTTTGGAATATAGTCAATAATAGTTGAAATCTCTTGCGGTAGAAACTGCAGTTTTCCATCCACTCCACTAGGCGGCAGAAGCAATGCTCAGCTCGACTCAACACGAATCAGGTGGGAAGACGTAGAACTTCAGATGACAGCAGCACGCTCGTCATGACAACGTGAGTAATGAAAACAAACAAACACCACGTTTTGCGTTTACAAACACGGGTTCAATGAAAATGTGTTGCACTGAATATAATATGAAATACTGAATGTTGTCTACCGAATAGAGCAGTTTACAAAGGTAATAAACGGTGGCTTGATTGTGTGGGCGTTTCCGCTGTTTACAACAGCAAATATTTTATTATGAGTTTCCAGAACATGTTTAATAAAGGCTGATTGAAATGCGGCATTGACCACAAGCCTCAATACTGCAATAGTAGCGAAAAAGAAATGTGATAGATTAGCTGAAACATTTATAAAAGTATAATTGAGTATTTACATTACAATGTATCTGCTTTTCTTAGGAACCGGAGGAACGTCTTTGTCCTAATATAAAGTATTAAATCAGCACAAACGTAAAGACTTTTACACATATTTTACTGCACTTTTTGATTGAAATGAACACTTTATCAGTTATCAAAATGTAGTTTCGATAATGAGTGTTTACACGCTGTCAAACAATGTGATTGACTGCGAATCTGACCTATGAGTGTAGAAATGATCGCGCTTCCCTTCCCGGATTGGTTATTTTTCGGGGTGTGTCAAAGTTGACCAATAGCAACCGTGGGAGGACAATTAAAGAAGGGGGCGTGTCTAGAATTTTAGACATCAATTTTTTATCTAAAATCTAAAAGTATTTAATTAAACATTGACTTAAAAACAAATTTGAATATATGAAACTGGTAAAATCCTGATCAAATTCCTAACCCACACTTGTTTTGATTACCAATCCTATATATATATATATATATATATATATATATATATTTTTTTTTTTTTTTTTTTTTGTGTGTGTGTGCTTCTTTGCTCTCTGAATTTTTCAGTTAACCTAAACATTTTTCTGTGCTTTCTCTACAGAATAAGGGATGTGTTTGGACCGTACAGTCAACAGAAGCAGAGCTCCAGGACGTTTGGACTACATTTACTGGCGTGATGGACGTCTGCTGCGGACAGGTAAGACCTCCCGCTCGTTTTTGTGTTATGTGCTATCGGTTACCATCACTTCCTTTCTGGAGAGGTCACCTCTCTAGAAAGGAAGTGATGGTAACCGAAACGGGGAGAGAAGGGACGGGGGTCTGGATTTTTATAGAGCTAATTTTTTTTTTAGTAAAAAGCAGCATAACCCCTGCTGTACATGGCCCCGTAGGTCAGGGGAGGAACGTTTCATCCTCCCCCTTCATTCACGCCGACACTCACACATATCGCAGTGATCTGGCTGGGATTGAACCAGCGACCTCTTAACCCTTGAGGCAATGCTCTACCGCTGAGCCACAGTCACATACCTAATGATGTGCTGGAGATTATATTTGCCCAATTCGCTTGTTGGTGGGCCAGTGAGCAAATGTGAGCAGAGCTTTGAACCCAAGTCTTTCCAGCAGCCTTAACCATGAAGAACATGTGTTTAGCCAGTAGCGCCACAATGACACTCATGTGTGTTTCAGGAGTTTATGGCACTTTGTTGCACATAATGACACCAAATTAATGTTTGCAAATATTGGGGATGGGATTTGAACTCTGGCCTTCATGTTCACAGTTTAACACTTTTATCTGCTGAGCCACTTAATCTGTGCTGAAGCTGCATATCAAGGCTTGAAGAGTATTATAGACAATAACCACATAACAAAGCCAGACACCGAGCAAAACGTGACTCACTTGATCATTTCTCGCACATTATCTAATGTATGTTCATATGTATGACAAGGCAGTTTTTAATGTTTCTTTGTTTTTTTATTAATAGGAAAAGAACACAGAAGTGAAGACGGTGTGATCAAGACTGAACACAGGTCAGTTACAAGCTCTTATACAGTATATAGTGAGAGTGATCTTAAAAAAACAGCTTTATTAGGCTTTTAGATTCTTTTCTTTTAACCAGTTTGATTCATTTAAAGCATTTACAGCGGTTCAATTCAATGAATCATTTAAACGGATTCATTTAAATTGATTCATTGATGTTTGGACTGTTTTTTTTGGCATTTACACCGTTTTGACCTGCAGATGTAGAGCAATTCAATTCATTTGAAGTGTTCACAGTTCCGTTCTATTCAATGAATCATTTAAATTGATTCAGCTAAATCGATTCATTCAACATGTCTGGACTGAGTTCTTATTTGCATTTACACCATTTTTAGCCTGTAAGTAAATCCAATTAATTACATTCTATTTAATTCAACTGAGGTGTTTAGAGCACTGCAGTTCAATTCAAAGCATCGTATAAAGTGATTCACATAAAAGATGAAGCTGTCATATAGCAACTTACAACATAAACAATTCAGAAGCCAAATAAGCCACCATTATAAGAATGATTTAAAATGTGTACATGTTGTTGTACCTTCCAACAGACAAAGGCAGTATCCCCGAGTTAGAGGAGATCATGATCACACACTTGAAGCTGAGGATCACCATCAAATGGTAAGCAATCTTGTTTTTTGCAGATGATGTTTAAACAAATGAACTTCAGTTTAGTTAAGTTCAACCACACAAGAAAGAACAAAGGGCAGTGAGGACATGAACAAACACATTGCTTCGACTGCAGATAAAATACTCTCCTCATGATTCAGTTCACCTGCAAATTTATATTTATGGATCCCTGTTGGGCTCTACACATTCAGTCTCTTATTTAAAACATCTGGGGTCGTATTCACAAAACACCTCAAAGCTAAAACTAGCTGCTAACGCTCCAATTTACAAGGAAAATATTTTAGTGTGAGTTCTGATTGTAGGTATCCTAAACATTTGCTTTAAGAGTATTTCACAAAGGGTTTTAGCATTAAAACTAGATCAAAAATCAGTGAAATGTAAAGAGTAGTGAAGTCACTCAGAACAAATGACAGACTATCCTAAAATGGCTGTTTTCAGCCGTCTGGCTTGGAAAGAAAACATTTTAGACAGAAACATTTCACCACAATTAGCTTTGAACAAGTTGTCACCTTTAATCAAGAGGTATTCACATAAGAAAATAAATATGCCTTCAAATATAAATACTTTAATTTATTTCAATTTATAATTTTATAAAACAATTTACACAATTTATTTATTACACATTCAAAAATAAAAAAAAACCCTGACAAAAATATATATATTTTCAAAAATAAATACAAATACTATAAATACAAATGTGGCCTTTTTATATATTGTTCAGGGTATATGTAAAAAGAAAATACATAAAGTAATTTAAAACATATTTGCCTTATTATTTTATAAATAAAATACCGTAAATTAAAACATTAGAAGTCTTTATTTATTTACTGTCAAATTAAGAGTAAGGAATTCAATTCTTCACTTACCCGGCATTTTAAAACCTTTATTTGAATACAGCCACATGATATTGTCCTCTGCAAAGTTTCTATCAACACATTTCTAACAGAGACTCCTCCCCTGCTTATCGTCCAATCACTGTGTGCATAGTTAACAAGCATGCTGACATCATCCATAGCAATGGGCTGAACCCTGCCCTCAATCTTAGCTTAAGACTTCTCTCTAGTAAACCTTTGAATCTGCAGCTTTGTGAATAAGTTGTAAAAGAAAACTCTTAGCTTAAAACTTTTTCCGATGTTGAGGAGAAGATAAGTTTTGTGAATACGGACCCTGATTCACAACCTGTATTTAGGAACTTGTGTGTATTTGATAAGAGAAACATGTAAAATGTGGAGCTCTGTTGGTCCCCAGGACTGGAGTCTAAAACAGACATCAGTGTAGATCCATTCCAACAGAAGTCATCTAATAAGAAAAAAAATAGGAGGTTATTTAACAAATATTGCATCCATTTGAGTTCATTCAGTGAATAACACAAACACATTTCTCCTCAGTCTAAGAGAAAAAATTTAAATCTATAAATTCAGAGATATTTTCTTATTAAGTTTAGGTTTAAAGCAACTCATTTTTGTCTTTCTAATTCTTGTCTACTTCTGAGGGGGGAAATCTGAATTTTGTAAACCATAATTCATAATTGCCATAAACAAAAGAATGAAAATATAGATGTTTACATGTTCTAATTATTTTGTTTTATATTTAGTAGAAGAAAATATACAATCCAAAATATCATTAGTTCTAACTAGTGTTTGATATTAATGCAGACACACTTACTGTCCACCAGGCGGCGCTGAAACACAGATCTGTTCTAATGCATTTTGTGTCTAAACCTAAAATCTGTGGCTACAATGCTCTTTATATCAGTAACATAGACATGACAACAAGAAATCATGGTTCAACTGTAATCAATGATTATAAATATCATTGCTAATAACTAAACAAAACATACATCGACTTAAAATGTACACATCACCATAAAAGCCGTCTGAGTTTCGATTGTTTACACATTGAGTGCGTCTATTTGAGTTAAACACAGCTTTTCTGTTTTACCCCATCAAAGATTATTCAGCAAAACTGCTATAATACACTTAGATTTACACGTCTAGACCCGCCATAAATAACAGGATTGCTTTCAAATGCGTTTTATTCATTGATTTCTCAGCCCTCTTACCTGCGACTGAACACCACGAGCTCATGATCTGAACAACACTGATTCATGTCCACACGAGGGCGCTGACGACCACATCTTGACTTATTTGGCACTTGACATTGAGCTATTTAATAACCTACCTAATAGATGCATTATAGTGTCTGGATGTCTACATTTTAAATTATGCATATCTGGAGTGTAAATGACTTATCAGACTTTAAATAAACGAGGCTTTAACGCTGTAACTCGTCCTGTTAGGGACTCTAGTGCAGTTCTCCATCCGCTCCACCAGGCGGCGCGCGCGACTTCCCGTTCAGTCTGACCCAGAGCTTCAGGATGTTGACAGTGTGACGTTTGTTTTGGTGCAGCAGCAGCAGCACGAGTGTGCAGTTTTAAACACATAAACTGAAGATGACAGCTCAGCGACAGTGTTTTAATGTCACTAAACAACATTTAATGCAGTCCGACAACTAAAATAACCGACACACGCTGAGATAAAGGACAGGAATGCAGTGAAAAGCGACTCATCTGTAAGTAACTGTACAGTATTTCTCCTGCATTTCCTCATTAAGTCTTTATTCTTTGTACTTCAGTCGCAGTTAAGTTCATGTTTAGCACTTATTGAAGTGTCTTTAGTGATATGTTTAAGCAGAGCTCTCCTGTTTGTTAAACAGCTTTGTTTACATGCTGCTCTCTGTCACTGTCAGACATTTAGGAGCAAATGAATTGGTAGTTGCTGTTTAATATGTAAAGGCTCAGAGTTAAACAGCCTCTCATTATAAAGCAGAACAAGACATAATATGTGTCAACAAGTCAGTTTGTGAAGCTCTGATGTTCTGCTGTGTTTCTAGAGCTTGCACAGGCAATATTTAGGCTGTAAATGTGTATAATTCTGAATTATTAACTGTAATATTTGTCAGAGTGTGATGTTTAGATCTGCTGTTTGACAGTGTCTCTATTTCTGTGTTTCCTCTAGAGAATGAGGGATGTGTTTGGACCGTACAGTCAACAGAAGCAGAGCTCAGGGACGTTTGGACTACATTTACTGGCGTGATGGACGTCTGCTGCGGACAGGTAAGACCTCCCGCATGTTTTTGTGTTATGTGCTATCGGTTACCATCACTTCCTTTCTGGAGAGGTCACCTCTCTAGAAAGGAAGTGATGGTAACCGAAACGGGGAGAGAAGGGACGGGGGTCTGGATTTTTATAGAGCTAATTTTTTTTTTAGTAAAAAGCAGCATAACCCCTGCTGTACATGGCCCCGTAGGTCAGGGGAGGAACGTTTCATCCTCCCCCTTCATTCACGCCGACACTCACACATATCGCAGTGATCTGGCTGGGATTGAACCAGCGACCTCTTAACCCTTGAGGCAATGCTCTACCGCTGAGCCACAGTCACATACCTGGTGATATGCTGGAACTTATATTTGACCTGTTCGCCTGTAGGTGAGGCAAAGAGCAAAAGTGAGCAGAGCCTGGATTCAAACCCAATTTTCTCTGACAGCGTTAAACATGTGCTCAGCCTGACGTGTTTCTGATTGAAAGCTGAACGCTCTAACCACTGAGCCACAGAGCTTGTACATTGCATGACTTGTGATCTGAGTTTTGTTGGATCCCCTAAGAATTTTAATGGTGAAATTCAAGCAGCTGTGGGATTCAAACCCGGGTCTTCAAAATGCAAACCTAATGCTCTAACCGCTAAACCATGGAGCTTGTGCTGTCCCTGAGGGTGTAATGTGGGATTTGTTGGATCCCCAAATAATCTTGACAGTGAAATTCAAGCAACAGTGGATTCAAACCCGGGTCTCCAAAACGGAAATCTAATGCTCTAACCACTGTACTATTGAGCTTGTGTTTTACATAATGGTTGTAATTCGAGTTTTGTTGGATCCCCAAAAAATTTTAACAGTGAAATTCTAGCAAAACCTGCTGTCTGAGGCTTTTAATTTGAGGTTCGTCATATCTTTATATAATTTTTCACAGTGAAATTCCAGCAGCCGTGGGATTCAAACCCGGGTCTTCAAAATACAAATCGAATGCTCTAACCACTCAACCACAGAGCTGGTCCTCACCGTAAGAGTTGTAATTCAAGCTTTATTGGATCCCCAAAGAAATTTAAAACTGAAATTATAGCCTGCGACTTCAAAGGGGTTAATCTAAGGCTCTGACTACTGAACATGTTTAATTGAAGGTTTTATTGATAATTTAGTATCTGTTTGACTTTTTATGCGAAAGCGTGATTTGAACTCAAGACTCCTGGTTGGGTAGCTAATGCTCTAACCACTCAGCCAATGAATAGCCTATACACTGTACACGTATAATGACATGTGCAATGGTGAGAAGATGAAGATGAAGCTGCTAAGAATCATTTGTTAAACAGGGCTTTAATGAGAGATTTGATGCATATGAGCACTAGTAATTCCCATACTTTAATTGTTCCTCTGCTTTTAACAGCCCTCATCTGGAGCAGATGAGCACCAAGGGAGCATTTAGTGCCTTGTTTAAGATCACGTTACTTCGAAGGAATCAGAACCAGGAATCGAACCAGGTACCACCCAACATGAATAGTCCAAGTCCAACTCACTGACCACTAGGCCACAACCACCCAACCCATTAGTTACTCTGTTACCACATGTTTTAGATAACTGAATGGCGCTGTTTAATAATTACTTAGAAATTGACAGATATTTCATCTAATAGAAGTTGGTGTTGAAACAAATGACCAAACCAGTTTTTATGAAGTTCATTAAATATAGGAAACTGGGTTATTTAAGTATTGACACAAAATTACAAACAATCATGATTCTTATGAAGAACTTTATTAATTATTCAAGCAATAAACAGCATCATTTGGACATTTAGATACTCTGTAGATGAACTGGAGTCCTGCAGATCTTGATTAGCTGCTGCAGGTGTTTTTAATCAGACTGAGGCTCATCAGGATCAGGAG